ATAAAATTATGTTCGAGATTCGCTCGAATGTGTAAAGAAAATGTAGCTGTAATTCCATTTTGTTTCGCTTCATTCATTCAACTGTTTAAAAATCACAGTTTTGTTCAAATGTTTAGGAGTAGATATGTTATTTGAAATTCGGAGTCAAATCATCCATTTCAGTCAAAATGGACATAAAATTGGTGTTAGCCTGTTCATATAAACAGACAATTTTTTTTTTGTTAAAAAATCTCGATAAACATTTTTAAATTTCTCAGTCTAAGAAAAATAGGTTATTTATCATGGTTCCATAATCCAAAGTCAATGAGTTATGTTTAAAAAAAATGTTTTCATTAATTTCACATTACTGTGAAAGATAAATAAGCTAGAACATTCGGAGATAATAACGACAATTAATTCTTTGGAAACGATCTATTAAAATGTTGAAAGTTCAACCAAATTAAGTGAAAAGTTAAAAATATATGTTTTAAAAATTTGTATTTTTTCACGGATTAGAACAACAAAAAGCATTTTAATAACTCGATGACACATGATATTTTTTAGAAGAATTGAAATATTTCATTATTTAATGACTTAAAGCATACAGAAAAACTACTTAATTGTAGATTTTTGTCTGTTTTACAACTCAGCAGTTGTTATTTAATACTAATTTCAACAGTTTTCTTTAATTTTCAATCCTTCGAATGATGAAAATGGAAAATTCCGATTTCGTTATCGAGTTATTTACTAAAGAAATCAATAAAAATAATTAACTATATAATAATTAATTTTACATCGATTAGAATTATTAAATCAGGACCTCTAATGGGCAAAATAATAAATTTTCGATTCTTTCCTGAAATTTTCCGAAAGTCATTCAAAGAATTGTAAATTGCCCTTAACAAAATTAGATTTATGAATCTAATCATATTTGTTTACACATTTTGCTAAGAAAAATGTAAAGATTTAAACATAAAAGAAGGCATAATTAAAATTTTGTTGCTCAAATTCTTATTAAATTAACTAGAATTTTAAAATGATGGCAATTCTGATGCTGTTTAACCGTGTCTACAAGCCCAATGGTTTTAAACCATTTAAGAGATTTGATTGTTTATAATCTCAAAATTTCGAAATTATTCTGATTATTCAGGTATACAGGGTTACTTAAACAAACTGATGGCCACAAATTTATTGAAAATGTTCAGCAAATAATTAAAGTGATTCGTACAAAATTCAAACGTAATATTTTGTAATTTCTTTCAAACTTGTGCTCTTTTAAAGAAAAACTTAAAATAAAACCTGTCAGAAAAAAATTTTATATCCTAAAATAGATTTTATATTCACACCGTATTCAGTTTAGTTTTGTTCAGTTTGAAAAACAGTTTTTCGCATTTTAAGGCAAAAAAGCAAATGGGCAAAAACAGAATTTAAATTGGCTGTAGCATTGATGGGAAAATCGCATAATACGTAAGCAAACAAGCATCAATGCAAGTAAATCAGCAAAAATCTCAATAACGAGGCATCTTAGAGACTACTAATTCTTGCATTTGATTCTTGCTGCGTTAAAAAGGATAAGGCTTTATTTTTTTATTGGGTAAGGTAGAAACAACCATTGCTTCCAAAAAAGCAAAAAACCCTCCATCCTCTATCCTGCATCACGTGAACTCAAATTTTGTCAATGACAAAAATGATAAAAACGTGATTTATTAGTTCCGCACGTTTTAAATTTTGAAAGACTTCATTTCAAAACTATTTTCAAAAACAAAAAATTGAAAATTTTGTGTGAATATGATTTTTTGAGTGAATAGATCTTTGATACATTAAACATCTAGGCTCTAGGCTTTTAGAAAATTTACAAAAGGCATAAAAACTAAGTTTTCAACTTAAACATTCAACCAATATTTATGTTTTCTTCTTATTTAAGTTTTGGAATTATAGGTGGGATTATTATCTTCCCGGAAGCATAATAATTCCACGTGTATTTCTAAGCGGGAATATTATCCCGCAGGGAACATTTAAAAATTTGCGATTTTCGGGGTTATTATCCCGCAGGATCGTGGAATTAATATCTTTGGGGGATTTTACCCCCCATTATTTTTTTATACGACCAATGATATTATAGGGCCCCGACTAGTGACAATTGTGAAACTTATTTTGTAAAATAGGAAAATTTCTTATTTTTTGATATAAAACTCACTTTATAAAGTTAAACAGTTGCTTCAGAACAGAGCTTTAACTTAGCGTCACTCACGAATATTTTTCGGGAATTTTACCATAACTTTGTCAGTTTTCATTGATATATCTTCGAAAATATTTTTTTTAAACAGAAATTTTCAGAGATCGAAGCCGATTTTTTCGGCTTAACTCAATTTTTGATTTTTTTGATAGAAAAAAGCCATTTGACACCCATTTCAAGTATTTAAATTGAACTTTACATGCTTTACTGTGTATTACAATACCAAATTAGGTGTATTTATCATTGACAATTTTATAAGTTGAAAACTAAGCCAGAAAGTTAAAGTTTTTCCAAATAAAGGCAATTCTTTTGATGAGTTTTGGAAAATTTTTAGCAAAAAATCGAAATTATATTGATTTTTCCCATCAGATACACTGATTTTATGATTCTTATCGGTATAAAAATCTAAAATGTACGCTACTTTTGATATCATATACTTCTAATCTGTATTAATTAAGTTATTTGGATTCTTTAATCAATAACTCGATGACAGAAATCGGAATTTTCCATTTTCATCATCCAAAGAATCGAAAATTAGAGAAAACTGTTGATATCCACATTGAATAACTTTTACTGAGTTATAGAACAGACAAAAATATTTAATTAGGTTGCTTTTCTGTGTGCTTTAAGTCATTAATTAATGAAATATTTCAATTCTTTGAAAAATTTTCTTGCGTCATCGAGTTATAAAGAAGCTTTTTTTTATGTCTTAATCCGTGAGAAAATACAAAATTTTCAAACATATTTTTTCAATTTTTCACTTAATTTGGGTGAGTTGTAACATTTTAATAGGTCACTTGTAAAGAATTAATTATGCTTTATGATCTACAAAAGTTCTGGCTTATTATTCCTTCACAGTTGTAAAAAATTAGGGCAATTCTCCAGATGAGTTGAGTTTTTGAAAAAAGAGCTTTTATAATCCAAAGTCATTTACTGTTAATTTTCAATTTTTTTTTGTAAATATCTTGTCAATTACTTTGTTTTGATTGCTTAAAGCAACTTTAAACTGTTTATTACGATCGATTCTTACTGAATCAACAATAATTCAACCATGAAGTGTTAAATTAAGACTAAAATTTAATTTTTATGAAATGGGCAATTCTCCAGATAAGTTTTTCAAAAAATCATCCGGAGAATCAAATTTTCTCGGAAATTTTCCATAACCAAGCATAACTTTTACATTTAAATCGATGTAAGATGGCAAAAACTATTATATTTCATCTATTTAAGTCTTTGAAAGTAGCCAATAAATAAGTTTTTTTAATTTTTTTTGCAAATTACTGTCAGCAAAAAATGGAATAATCATACGGAGAATCGAAAATTGAAGAAAAGTAAACACTCATTTTTTATTATGATTATGCAGAAATGTAGTTTTTGAGCTAATCTATCTAACCATAATCATATCACACTCCAATAATTACTATTTAAAGAGAATTTTTGATTCTTCGGTGGATTTTTTTTGCTGACAGTAAAAAAATTAAGCTTTTACTTTGCAAATCCATGAAAAAAATGCAATACAAATATTTCATAAAAATTAAATTTTAGTCTTAATTTCAACACTTCATGGTTGAATTATTGTTGATTCAGTAAGAATCGATCGTAATAAACAGTTTAAAGTTGCTTTAAGCAATCAAAACAAATTAATTGACAAGATATTTACAAAAAAAAATTGAAAGTAAACAGTAAATGACTTTGGATTATAAAAGCTCTTTTTTCAAAAACTCAACTCATCTGGAGAATTGCCTAAATATTTGTATTGCATTTTTTTCATGGATTTGCAAAATAAAAGCTTAATTTTTTTACTGTCAGCAAAAAAATCCACCGAAGAATCAAAAATTCTCTTTAAATAGTAATTATTGGAGTGTGATATGATTATGGTTAGATAGATTAGCTCAAAAACTACATTTCTGCATAATCATAATAAAAAATGAGTGTTTACTTTTCTTCAATTTTCGATTCTCCGTATGATTATTCCATTTTTTGCTGACAGTAATTTGCAAAAAAAATTGAAAAAACTTATTTATTGGCTACTTTCAGACTTAAATAGATAAAATATAATAGTTTTTGCCATTTTACATCGATTTAAATGTAAAAGTTATGCTTGGTTATGGAAAATTTCCGAGAAAATTTGATTCTCCGGATGATTTTTTGAAAAACTTATCTGGAGAATTGCCCATTAAAGAAAACATTTTATTGACACAAAACTAATTGACATTGGATTATGAAAGCTCATTTTTTTCAAATTCCACTCATCCAAAGAATTGCCCATAAATCAAAAATCCATTTCTTGTCTTGTCTGAACTTTTTAACTTTACAATGAAAGCTTTTGTTAATTTTTATATTATTATTATGACTTTTCTTTTGTAAAAACTTTTAAAACTTTTGGTTTATAAAAAATCTATAACTATAATTTTTAATTCAAGTAATAGATTTTATCCCAGCTTTATTAGAGATGTACTCGAATGATAAAATCTATTTAAAATTCAAAAATATTCAATTTTTTTGGAATTTACTATAAGCATAAGATTACACCTTTTTAAACACTTTAGAAAATTTTGAGAAGAAAACTAAATTAAAAAGAAATCCTAAATTATTTGGCAGAAACATGCTGATTATTATTATAATACACTTTAATATTAACAAGATTTGTGAGAAATTCTAAGGATATCTTGATCCCGTAATCCCGGTATTGAAGCTATTCTAATCCCGGTATTGAAATCCCTATTTATTATAGCTTCAATCATTTTTATTAAAAGAAAAAGGCTGAAAAAATAGAGGAATTTACCTTAAAACAGAAAGTGATTTTTCGCTGTCTTCATTTGAAAATTTTGATCCGTCTGGTGAAATCAATGAAAATTCAGAATTTTCATATTCTAAAGATCCTAATACAAATTCAAACACGTTTGATAAATTCTCGTGTACCCCGAAAGTTCCCTATTCAAGAGAAATGGTTATTTTTCTTTTAATGAGTCAACATATTGTTCTATAATTTACCTGCAAATACAAACCATCAGGAAATCGAATACGAATCAAAGTATATTTGAACCTATTGACATATCTTTCCTGTTCCTTTTCTCGCATGGCCTATCAATATCAATAAAGATAAATTAAATGGTATTATAATATTAAATCATTATGCAAATTACCTTAGTTTTCAAAATCTGGGCATCTTCAATAGCCGATTTTCTGAATAAAAAAGCAATTAATTTAATATAGAAATGGAAATAAAAGGAAATGTGAGAGCATTTACTTTGCCTTTTGTTCATTGAGAAGCTCTTCTTTGGATAAACGGAAAAAATCTGGTGGCAATATAACAGGCTCAGCTTGGGATGGCAATAATACTTTGACATTTCGATCAATTTCAAGCGGAATAACTTCAGATAAATCTAAAGCCTCACATAACTGGATTAACATTTCTAAAGGATATTCAGAGGTCCATTGTAAATATGCTTCGTTGTCAGAGGTCACTTCTTTAAATCCTGCGGCTTTTAAGAATTCCATTGCTCCTTCGACATTCGAAACCTTTTCACAAAATATTCTATTCGTCATCCTAATTCGTTGATACTTTGTTTCTGTCGGATTGGTTATTATGTTGTTAAGATACTTTTTCAATGTGAGGATGCAATCTTCTGCAAGGTGTATAAAGTTGCAGTTTTTAATAATCAAACATGCTGTTAAGCCTGGATCGCTTGGCATTTGCTCATAAAGAAATGCTTTAATTTTTACTTTCCACTCTTTTTTTGAAAGTATTTCATCACTTACAAAAGGACATCTGAAGAATACACCCTCCACACTATACTTTTCAGATGCTGAATCTTCTGATGTTATATTTAAATTGCAAATCGAAGCTTCCAATTTGCTGTTTTCTTGCTCAAGCTCTCGTCTAGCTTGCTCTTTAATAGCTTTGAGTGAAAAATTTAACGATCCACTTGCATTCTGCTTTATATTTAATCTTTCTATTGCTGCATCTCTTGCCTTTTTTGCTTCATCAGTAAGATCATCTCTTTTAACAGGAACATAGACATCTGAAGGCTTCTTTTTTCCCTTTGAATATGGCCCCGGCCCAGACGAACTTGAAGCGTCGTCATTAAGCTTTCTACCAGGACCTGCTTTTTTGAAGCTCTTATTTACATTCTTATGGGAAAATAATTTCTTAATCTTATTTGCAGCAGATTCCATATTTAAATTCTAGGTGTATGTTCTTTTGGCAATTTTAGCTTCTCAACAGACTTCCGAAGATCCTCAATTTCAATCAATGTAGACGATTTAATGAAATGCCGACTAATTGTAGAACCGTATTGATTCCAGTAAAATACTATTAGGACAATATTGCACAGTAAAATAATCAGCAATGAATGAAGAATGTTTTTCTGAAATTCTGTAACTTTAAAAAACAATAATGATCCTTTGATCTATCCTGTAATTAAAGACAATTATAGGTACTTACAATTTGTTGAAAACTTTTCATTAACTTCAAATAGTATGAGTTGTAGGAAATCTTGAATCATATCAATATTTAAATATTTTCATGATAGTCACAAAGAAAAACAATACTTAATTACGGGTTGCTTCTAAATGATGTCCCTTTGGTTTTCGAAAATTAATTCGAACTCCGAATTCAGGGAGACACAGCTATTTTCAACTAAATTCGCACAGTTTCAAAGAAAACATTGTATAGCTATGTCTCATTTGTCCTAATGACATAATTTTTCAAACTGTACCATCATTTAATCCTCGAAGTGAACGACTTAATGATACAAATGATGTATTTTAATTAAATTAACTTCGAATATTAAACCTTTTAATAACGAAATATTATATATTTTAACAATTCAAAAATACATTTCAGCATATTGAGATGTATTACGTGGTAAATGCGCTTTCGAAATTTACAGACTGTTAGTCAAGCAACGCTACTTAGCCCACTAAACTAGCCACGTAGCTTGAAAAAAGTATATATATTTTACCGGTTTCCGAGTCTTATAAGTTCACACCTTTTTGAAATTTTCCATTATTTTCATTAATTAAAATTAAAGGAAAATGAAATTACTCTTCACAATAGTCTTTTTAGTTGTAATAAACTTAATTAATTGCGAAGATATCAAAGAAGAGGAAGGAGTTCTAGTTTTAACAAAGTCCAATTTTAAAGATGCTTTAAAGAACGAATTCGTTTTAGTAGAATTTTGTAAGTACTATCATTTTATTAATTATTGCGTGTCAGCATTTCCTTTATTCATTAATTATGATTGGTCCCCAAAAATTGTGTGCTGTATATATATATGTATATACTTAAATAGATGTAACTAGCAATACGTCTGTAAAGTTTACATGATTAAATTAAGGAAGAGCAATCCTTTTGGTACACGTATCAACGAAATTTGCCCTTAGTTGTAGACTTTAAGTTACGAAAGTTTGATTTGAAACCCTATAAGAATACAATAATTATGTTTAAAGCTTTAAATTTCATTGATTTCATTCTGATAGAACAAGTGACGTGTCAAATAGCCTAGAAAGTTAAGTCTTGAATTGGCTTATAAGAATGATATAGCATATGTTTCGTCCTCAGAATTTTAAAATTTAGAGAAATTTTCCGGTTTCCTTCGAAAGCTATCTGTATCTTATTGGATTAGATTGACTTTAAAACACATTTTTCAAAGGTTAAAATAAATCTATTGTTATTTTTTTAAAGTTTAATATTTGCTTTCTTTCCAATGCTATTGCTGCTGCTGCTTTATAGATGCCCCTTGGTGTGGACATTGTAAGGTATGCTATTTAACAGATATTAAGAAAACGCAGGTTGAAAAGTCCTAATCTTGTGATCTTTGTGTTAATTAATGTAGTCTCTGGCTCCAGAATATGCAAAGGCAGCAAAGATATTGAGCGAAAAGGATTCATCGATTAAATTAGGAAAAGTTGATGCTACAGAAGAAAGTGATTTAGCAGAAGAATATCAAATTCGAGGATATCCAACACTTAAATTCTTCCGAAGTGGTTCTCCAATTGATTATAATGGTGGTCGACAAGCTGATGACATTGTTTCATGGTTATTGAAGAAGACTGGACCAGCTGCAAAGGAACTTGAAACTTTAGAGTCTGTAGAAGAGTTCTTGAAAGATAATCAAGTTGCAATCGTTGGATTCTTTAGTAATAAAGATGTTGATGAGTATAAGGCATTCGTGTCTGCTGCCAATTCAATCGATGAATATCCATTTGGAATTAGCACAAATGACGATGTTTTTACCAAATATGAAACCGAAAGCGGAAAAGTTGTTTTATTCAAACAGTTTGATGAAGGAAAAGCCGTTTATGATGGAGCTTTTGACGATGATTCCATCAAAAAGTTCATTTTGAGTCAAGCTATGCCATTGGTTGTTGATTTTAATCATGATTCAGCTCAAAAGATTTTCGGTGGCGATATCAAATCACACTTGCTCTTGTTCTTGTCAAAGGAAGCTGGACATTATGAAAAATATGCCGAGCCTGCAAAGGAAATTGCAAAAGAACACCGTGAAAAGATTCTTTTCGTTTCAATTAATGCTGATGAAGAAGATCATAACAGAATTTTGGAATTCTTTGGAATGAAAAAAGAAGAGGTCCCATCAATGCGTATCATTCAGTTGCAAGAAGACATGGCCAAATTCAAGCCCGATAAGGCTGATTTGGGAGCTGATTCGATCAAAGCATTTGTACAAACTTTCCTTGATGGAAAATTGAAACAACATTTGTTGAGCCAAGACTTGCCAGAAGACTGGGATAAGAATCCAGTTAAAGTTTTGGTATCAAGTAACTTTGATGAAGTAGCACTCGATAAGACCAAGGATGTCCTTGTTGAATTCTATGCTCCTTGGTGTTCACATTGCAAACAATTGGCTCCAATTTTTGATCAATTAGCTGAGAAATTCAAGGATACAGATTCAGTAGTTATTGCCAAAATGGACGCTACTGTTAACGAATTAGAACATACAAAGATTCAATCATTCCCCACACTCAAAATGTACAAGAAAGGAGACAACTCAATTGTCGATTTTAACGGAGAACGTACGCTGGAAGGACTCTCTAAATTCGTCGAATCAGGCGGTTTAGAAGACGCAGCTGGCGTTCCTGATGTTGTAAGTATCGCTCTAATATTCCACATCATCATTTATTTCCACATAAAACGTGCTTTATGATATACAATTCATGTTTTCACCATTTTTATTTAATTTAATTTTTTTTTTGTACATATACAAACTCTACTTGTCTATTTTCTTAACTGAACATGTTTCTTATCAGTAGTTTAGATAAAATTTTATTTAATTTTCGTTTTTTTTCCTCTTTTTTTTTAACAGGAGGAAGTTCCAGTTGAAGATGACACGCCACAAAAAGACGAGTTGTAAATTGAGGTCATTATTTTTTAAAGAAATACTTTCATTTATAAATAATTAGAATCACAATTAGTTGCTGTATATTTTTTAAATTGTGAAATGATAACTTTACATTTATCAATTACATTCTTCATCAAAATAATAAGGTTCTTTTTGATAACAAAAACATTCGATATTCCTTTTTCCATACTTAAAAATGTATTAATGCTCAAATTTTAGAGACAAAAAAAAATATGAAGATAAAAAAGAAATCAAATAAAATAAAAACTTAATAGTGATCTCTTTATGGAGTTTTGAAAGATGTTTTCTTTTTTTTTAAATAAAGCTTCATTCAAAATATTAAAAAATATATTTTTCTCAATAAATTTCGTACGAAAGAGTTTTAAACACATTCCATTTTATTTTTATTTTTCTACCATTTTCAGCAACATCTCATAATCAGGTAATTGAATTAACCGTTAGACTTGAGATCATGGCAAACATTAACTGATTTGCTATGCAATCAAACAAAAAGTAATGTCATAAATAAGCAGAACTTTTGTGTTTTGTCATTATAAAAAATAAAATAAATATAAATAGAATATAACAATGCATGATGAAATGTGTGAAAAGTTAATTATGGTATGAAAATGTTTGTACCGATCAATTCGAGAGTACCGATTCATAATATTAACATATACCCTATAATTTTGATGATGAGTCATATTACTCTCATTTTAAGTAAAACAAAGTTTAATGATCATTACCAAGTAAAACTGAATTTTTGAAGAAAAATCAATGGAAAATATATCTAAATTGGAAGAAAGACTTGAGCAAAGTAGAAAGCAACGCAAGATATTGAAACATGAACTTGGTAAATTATAAAATTATGGATATATGCAGTAAATAAAATCTCTTACTTTCATCAACAGGAGCTGGAAAATCATGTTTATCGTGCAAAGAAAAATGCGTTGGAGGGTTGAATTTGCATTTTTGGCGAAAGATTTGCATCAATTGTAAATGTCCAAAATCAAATCATGATCTTCTACCAGAAGATTATGATGAGAGTCATATTTTTGATGTATTGGGTGTTAAAATTCCGGATCATAAAAATCTTTATAAATACATTCGTAAAAATCCAACAACACATGTGCCTAATGATGATAAAAAGGAAGTCGAGTGGATACCTATTGTATCGGAAATGGATGATGCAAAGAGAAACGAAAAGATTAATAAATACTTTGAGGAACTTGGCGAAAAACAAATACCGTTCAAAAATTCAGACGCATCAAAAAATAGAAAAATTCAATCGACAATGCAACTTCCACCACATGACTTCAATCCCGAAAAGTGTGACAATTTGAGTGAAATTGAAGCATCGAAATTAAAACATTATGTTGACAACCTTAAAAGGAATTATTTTGGACAGGGTCAAGTCGATGTTGTTGAAAATTCATCTATTAATCCGTTCAATATGACAAAAACTAATCTCAATGCTATCAATAACAATGAAAACGTTGCTGAAATGTTTCAAAAACTAAATATGGGAAATATCGAATTGTTATGTAGAGGATGTGGAAAGGATATTACTGGAGCATTTGTGAAAGCTGAAAGATTAGGCAAAGGTTCACAATGGCATCCAAAATGCTTCAAATGCAAATCATGTTCGCAACTTCTTGTAGATTTGATCTATTTCCACTATAATAATGAGATTTATTGTGCAAGAGATTTGGCAGCAATAATGGAAATTCCTCGATGCGCAGCATGTGATGAATTGATTCTTGTTTCGGAATTCACATTGGCTGATAATAAAAATTATCATCTAAAACATTTTTGCTGTGGAAATTGTGATAAGACATTAGCCGGATTCAAATATGTTAATGATGAAAAGACTAACAATCCTGTATGCCTCTCATGCTATGATTTAATTTATGCTAACAAGTGCTCCATTTGTACAGAAATAATTGCTCCTAACGAAGAAGGATTATCGTTTAAGGAGATTCACTATCATCTTAAATGTTTTAACTGTTCAAATAAAAATTGTAACAAGCAATTAATTGGGAGTCGATTTTGTATTAAAGCAGACATTCCATTTTGTTCAGCCAGCTGTGTTAACAGTGTCAAGATGACAAACTAAATAATTTTATCATAATAAATTTATAATCATTTTATTGATATTGGTATATATAAAATTTTTGTATTCAACTTTAATTAAACAATTTTCGTTCATTCTGTATGTTTATAAAATTATGAAACGTAAAACTAGTCTCTGATTTTTTTGAAATTCATATAATCCTTGAATTCACGTGAAAATGCTTGACAATATTTTTTAAAAAATATCATCTTTAGTTGATTCCATGAAAATAAAGATTGGAAGTTGTTTGCCTTTTTCTCCGTTACATAAAATTTAAAATAATAATAATAAAATAATAATGCTTCCGTGACCAAAAGTGAATTCAAAAATCAAGTGAATTATATTTAAGAACAGATGAATTCTATGTAAAACAAATGTATGACTTATATTTCATATTTGAAATAAGAATAAAATTCAATGCATTTTCTTATGAATTTCGTCTATAAATTTTCTCTAAAATCTTAAAGAACAACTTGTGTGGTAATCCCCGAGAAATTTGCTGGATATGAGTATTAATTATTTTGTATGACTCCTCTTCGTAAATTTCGTATGTATGAGGCAATAATAAGTCCTCATACAATTCTTTGACTCGTTCAACTTTTTCTGGGTCTAAGAATAGATCATTGGAAATATAAAGAAAAATAAGATTTAGTTATTGTTTACACATCTTTTCTTTCCAAGAAAGAAAAAAAAAATAAGCGTGTAAGTTTGTTTTTATATTTTAACTTAAAAATAAATCACCTTTTTGACCGTAACACTCTTTCATGATTTCCTTCTGTTCGCTCGTACATCTCTAAAATAACATGACAATGAAAATAAATTTTGGAAAGATAAAATAATTAGATTATTGGGGAGGGATGTTCTCAGAGGGTTTTGTTCTAAAGTTTTCAAATCAGCAAGTTTTGGTAGTTTAAAAAACATAATAATTAAAATTGAAAGAATAATGAAATTCTAAAAGTAAGAGATCGATGTCAAATAATTTCAATACGAAATCTCAAAATACCTGTAGTGCAACAACTGCTAACCAAGTACACTTTCCGTCGATAATATCTGTCCCTAACTTGCCAGTTACAGAAGAATCACCAAAACAGTCAATAAAGTCGTCTTGTACTTGGAAAAAATTCCCTATTTCTAATAAAATGGTTTTTGCCTGTCGAAAAACTTCAGGATCCTTTCCAAATCCACTCATATACATCGCTAATGCAACGGGCAAATAAAAAGAATAATATGCAGTTTTGTTTGCAACAATTGATTTATATCGTTCCATCGTGAACAAATTTAAGTCCATTTTCTGGCTGGCCTTGATATCTTGCAACTGACCGAGAGTAGTAATGAAGGAAACTTCATGGAACAAATCAACAATATCCTGATAATATTCCTTGTTTTTGAAGTATTTCTTTAGCAAATAATAAATTCCATTCTCAATCATCATTGCGTCATTAATTGCTGACAGTCCAACATCCTCCATCTTATACCAACACTTGCCTCCTCGTCTAGTAATCGACCCGTCAATTATATCGTCATCAATAATAAAAACTGCTTGCAACTAAAAGAATGATAAGACAAAATAATTTTAAAATTATCCGATAGATTAAAGGGGATGGGGGATAGCAAATTTAAGTTTAACTTGGATCTTCCACATGAATATCGAATAATATTTAAACATAAGTTACTAACCATCTCAACACACCAACCGAGACATTGAACAAGCTTTAATTCCTCATCATTCAGTTCCCCATTCTGCTTTAGAATCTTGTATGCCATCACAACAACCAAGCCTCGATTCTTCTTTCCTGTTGTTACATTATATTGAAGGAGCTTGCTGAACCACTTTGGAGCATCATGATTTTCGAATTTTTTGGCATAATCCGTTAAATCTCTTACTATATCTGGCCAGACGCTCATAAACTCTCTGATATCATCCTTACTAGCGGCGGATTGAAGAGCAGCTTCTAAATTATTATAAATTGATTTCTTTTACACAAACTTAAACTTATATTTATATTGTTCATCTATTTATTTAGCATTGATATAACTCATTAGATAAAAAAATCTTAAAAATTTTTTAAGCAAACAACTGGAACTTTTTATATATTTTGAGACTAAAATAGCTCTTAAAAAATAGTATCGCAACGCAGAACAATTTCTCACACGAATGATCTCAAATTTCTTATAGATATAATAAACATACCTGGTAAAATATGGTGATTGTTGTGATGAGATGAAATTGTCCTAATGTATGTAGATTTAAAAAAAGGATATAGAATAAACAATGAGATTAACTTTTTAATTCCTATACATATGATAATAAAATCAACAAACCTCAATGGCAAACTATTATTTTTGAAAGATGGCTCAAAACATTTAAATGCACTTCTGTTTAATGCTCCTAAAGTTCTTGAGCCTTGAATAAATAAGCGGAAAGTTGGTCTGAACATTACTACAGTGCTTTCTCGTCAAAAGTTTATGCAAATCTATTCGTGGACTTCAAATATTTTCACAAATATAGGCAGTCAGTAAGTAGTAGATGTTTTTTTATGTATCCCTATGTTCTTCAGTAACGTCACTTGCTTAAATGATAACAATTATGACTTAATAAATGAAATATAATGTTCTTTATTACTCTGGACGACAAAGTTGTTTTAATGATGTTCAGTTTTGAAAAGGAGCATAAAAAATTGAAAAGCATTTATTAATTAATAAAGCATTTAAGAGCTTAAAAATAACGGTGAATTTAAATTAGTAAAAAATCGACTTTCGAAAATTGTACGTTTAGAAACAACTTTTTTTCATCTAGTGAAAATTTATTGTCATATGACTTCACTTAAAAGTCTCTTAAATAATTATTAAGACATCCCGATTTTCAACAAATTTAAATAATGAGAATTTGCGGCCCAAAATTATCCTTGTGTGGATTGATCATTTCAGTTTGGGGAATTATTCAATTGGTAAGCAAATTTATAAATTTTTGACGAAAATTGAAACAAAATAATTACAAGATAAAATAAAAAAAAAATATATATATATCTTTTTAGCTGCTTATGGGTGTCTTCTATTATATACATAGTGTAGCATTAATTGAAGATTTACCAATTGAAGAGCATTACAAGACTCCATCGGAGTTTTATGCTGCTGCAGACAGAGCATACAGTCAGGTAAGTCATTGCTGCATATAAACGATTTTTTTTTTCTTATACAATTCCTATTTCCAGAATGCAATGAATTGCTGGATTGCTGCTTTAATTTATGTTGTAACATTGGCGGTCTCAACATGGCAATTTTATGCAAATAGTCGTGCTAGTTCAGTTAACTAAACTTTGTTATTTAAATGTATATCTACAAACTGGTTCATTCCAAGCATCTTTTTTGGGAAAATGATTTTCGTTTCCTTGAGACTTTTCATCCATCCTATTATCCTATTATAGTCTTTGTTCCGTGTGTAGATCAAAATGAATCATACTAATAATATCAACATAATTATATCTGATTGTAGCATAAATTAACAGTTCTCAATATAATTTGATTCATAAATAAATCATGTTTATTTCAGTATATTTATTAAACATTTCTGCATACTTAACTACATTGTTTTTAAATGTATATATATATAATTTTGCTGTTTAATAAAGGTTTAAAATTATCAAGTTTAAACTTGTCAAATACGAAGTTTAATAATTATTTATGTTTCTTTTGGGGGGGTATCAGTTGCAAATTTGAACAACAATCTTGTTTGGGGTTTCAGAGGAGAGTCTTTGTTTAGATAACGAATAAAACTAGGAGACAAGAGAAATGTCCTCTATTTTCCTGAAAAGTGTCTAGTTATATTACAATTTATAACAGAATATACAATTTGCCATTTAACAAATTTGCGAAACAAAAAATTTAAAAATCACAAAAAATATCATAATCGCATTTTTCGGCCTCTTCATATAAATATTCTTCATTATAGTCACCATAATTGCTAGTGTCATCGATAGACCTCACATTTGGTTTTATTGGTGGCTAAAAAGTGAAAATAAAAATAATAAATACTCCATATCACTATCTACTATAGTTCTCTTAAATTCAAACTATGTATTTTGTCGATTAAGAAATATTTTAAAGCTGTTCCAAGTATAATTACGTATGTTATCAATATTAAGCATAAAAAAGAATTGTTTTCTAAATTAAATATTTTTTGACCAAATTTTGTTCTTCGCTTTGAGTTTCTGCTTGTGAATAGACTTTTTATTCAAAATGCATGGGAATAAAATTGAATTGCAGAGTTTTAATCGTAGTCATATGCATCATGAAATGGTGGGGAAGTTTTCTCGCAACCTCCAGAGAACGAGGTTGTGGAATCTTTTTTTTATATTCACACCGTTTTCACGTGTGAATCTATTGGTTTTGTTCAGATTGAAAAATCAGTTTTTCGCATTTTGTGAGAAAACAAAGCAAAATTGGTTATAAAAGGGCAAGAAGAAAAGTTTGAGCCTGAAATTTTACATCATTTTCAAAAAACAGATTTCAAATTGGTTGTGGCATTGCTGAGAAAATCGCAAAATACGCTTTCTGTAAGCAAACAAGCAAGCAAGCAAGCAAGTTAATCAGCAAGAAATCTCAATAACGAGACATCGTAGAGACTTCTAGTTTTTTACATTTGATCCGTGCTACTCTATAGAAGAGCTGTATTGTTTTTGGGCAAGGTAGGAACAGCCGTTGCTTCAGAAATGGCAAAAAACTTTCCTTTCTTACGAATTTTTTAAAACAAAAGTTGACTGTGATTTTTATAAAATATTCAACTTTGGATGAAAATTTTTTTTAAAAAACTTTTAAAGAATATTTGGCATATTCGTCAAGCTTTATACCTTCAAACTTATGCTGAGCGTAGCTCAGCTGACTCGATAGCTTTATATCTTCAAACTTATGCTGAGCGTAGCTCAGCTTACGCGATAGCTTTATAACTTCAACTTATGCTGAGCGAAGCTCCACTGCCTCTCTAGCTTCAAATCTTCAAACTTATGCTGAGCGTAGCTCAGCTGACACTCTAGCTTTATATCTTCAAACTTATGCTGAGCGTAGCTCAGCTTACGCGATAGCTTTATAACTTCAAACTTATGCTGAGCGAAGCTCAGCTGCCTCTCTAGCTTCATATCTTCAAACTTATGCTGAGCGTAGCTCAGCTTACGCAATAGCTTTATAACTTCAAACATATGCTGAGCGAAGCTTAGTTGACTTATCAAGCTTCATACCTTCATACTTATGATGGGCAAATCTTGGTCTATCCATAAGACCTATGATAGTACGGTGTGAATATAATCCGCATTGGGTTTCTACCCGATACACTAGTTATATTCACATTCCGTTTTCACGTGTGCATCTATTGGTTTTGTTCAGATTGAAAAATCAGTTTTTCGCATTTTGTGAGAAAACGGAGCAAAATTGGCTGTAAAAGGTCCAAGAAGAAAAATTTGTGCCTGAAATTTTAAACCATTTGCAAAAAACAGATTTCAAATTGGTTGTGGCATTGCTGAGAAAATCGTAAAATACGCTTTCTGTAAGCAAGCAATCTAGCATGCAAGTTAATCAGCAAGAAATCTCAATAACAAGAAATCGTAGATACTTCTAGTTTTTTACATTTGATTCGTGCTGCTCTATAGAAGAGCTGTATTGTTTTTGGGCAAGGTAGGAACAGCCGTTGCTTCAGAAATGGCAAAAAACTTTCGTTTCTTACGATTTTTTCAAAACAAAAGTTTACTGTGTTTTTATAAAATTATATTTTTGATTAAAAAAACACTTTAAAAACTTATAAAGAATGCTCGTTAATCTTTATACCTTCAAACCTATTCTGAGCGAAGCTCAGCTGACTCACTAGGTTTATACCTTCAAACATAAGTAGAGAGAAGCTCAGCTGACTTATCAAGCTTTATACCTTCAAATTTATGCTGAGCAATTCTTGGTCTATGCATAAGACTTGATGGTACGGTGTGAATATATCCACATTGGGTTTCTACCCGATACACTAGTTTTCTCCACATTTTAATTTATTACGTGTTGGAAGCTGTCAAAAAATAGTTTAAAGTTTTCATTAAGAACCAAAAAACAGATAGAGAAAGTAGTAAACTCAAAAAAGGCGCGATCTATTCAAAAATTCGGAGATAAATTAAAATTGCTCCAAAAAGTGCAAATTTTTGCACATAACCTAGACCTGGGAATATATAATGTGTGGAGGGCCCAGCTATTCAGCTAGAGGCACTACAATTCAATTTGTAAAGAATCTATTGTACCATACCCCTTAGACCTACAGTTTATAGTGGGATCCGAACCAAGCTCTGCACATTGCAAAGACACGAGTACACTATGGGATAAAATCGAAATTTTTTTTCAAAAATTATTTTATTGGCTTATTTGAAAGGTCTTTATTCAAGGAATCAGAATCTATTTTATTGTTGGCCCAAAGTGCAGCAGTGCTGGAGATATAGCCTGAAATGTATTTTTATGACCTTCGATAATTAATATTTTCAATTTATCAGAACTTTTTCTTGTCTCAACCAATTTTAATGAATTTTTTTTTAAATGACAGCGTTGTGTTTTTCAGATAATTTAAGTATGTTTCTGTAGAAAACATGAGAAAAATTAAAATTTTTACCTTTACTGTATCTGATAGGACTGGTCAAACTATGACATGTTTCCCATACGCTAGCAGTGCCCTGGGAAAATTTTGAGTAATTTTTCAGTTTTTTCAACATTATTCAGGGACATTGTACTCATATATACAAATACTTTTTGTTAAGCATATAGTGTATTTAAAGTCATTTACTTCTCATTGAAAATGGAAAATGATGACATTTCAAATAAAAATGGTCCAAGTCCATGCCAAAAACTCAAATTGATTTTAAAATATCAAAAATACTATTTTCTAACATTCCTGAAAGATTTATCAAGTTTGGACATGATTTTGATGAAAAAAGTTGAAAAAGATTTTTGAGATGCATGCAGATGACATGTTTCAAATGGTTCAAAGTTGAAAATTTGGCAGAATTTTTTTCCAGGTTTTCACAGTTTTAGAAAGATACAAGTGAGGGCTATATAAAACAGTTAAAGCTTGTCTCTTCACTCACTTGGAATATGCAGTTATAGTCAATTGAAGTCAAAACATAGTAAAAAACCGTATATTTTTTGATGTATAAATATAATTTTAAACCTTGAAAGGGATATTTTTCTTGTGGAACTGGTAAAGGGCTATATTTTAATGAAAAAAGAAAAACATTTAAATGCATCAGAAATCCACGTACTCAAAAAAAGTGTGTCGTACTACTAACATTTGAAGTTTCGTCAATTTTTAAGCACTTTCCATGAAGTAAAACGTATGTGACTGATATTTATATTAAAGTTTCGGCTTATATCTGTCATTTAAAAATTTTATGAAAATTGGTTGAGGCAAGAAAAAGTTCTGATAAATTGAAAATATTAACTATCGAAGGTCATAAAAATACATTTCGGGCTATATCATCAGCACTGCTGCATTTGGGCCAACATTAAAATAGATTCTGATTCCTTGAATAAAGCCCTTTCAAATAAGCCAATAAAATAATTTTTGGAAAAAATTTTCGATTTTATCCCATAGTGGAGTACGTCATAAGACCTGATGTATCCTGCAATGTACCTAGTCACAATTCGTGTGCGCAAGATGCCGTAAGGAAGTCATCCAGATGCTGGTATATCCTTGTGCATATACCTAGCAAAGGATGCATATTCTACCTGGGAATGCCAAAGAACATATTGAACTGACGGAGTGTGGATCATCGGCGTTTGTGAAGAGAATTTGTCTCGTGATGTGTTTTCCTACAGTAGCGCTCAAAAGTATGTTGACTTTTAGATTTTCTATCATAACTTTTGATCTACTCAATGAATCTTTATTTTTAAACTTTTCAACGTAACTTTTCAGCCATTGATTAAAAGTCCAAAAAACCTATATGATTTTGAAAGAACTATTAAAAAGAAGAAAATAGAACACCTTTTGTTTTATATTTCAGGCTGGTTTAAATTTTTTAAAGTGATGTTCCATTTCATGCTAAAATTTTTATCGACCTTACAAAAACGTTTTCCAAAAAACTGTTTAATTAAGTTATAATTAAATACAAAATGCATACTATTATAAAGATAATGAAGATTTCTGTCTTTTTAAGTAACTTTTGGTTAATTTTATGCTTAAAAAATTGTGATTATTGTGAAAAGAATCGATAAAAAACATGAAAATTTTATAAGCCTTAAAATAAGTTAAATCTTTCCTTAAATAAACTTATATATCTTTAAACTTGCTCTATATTATCTATATTTTAAGAAACAAACACTCAAAGTTAAAATAAATCAGCTTTTGGAACGAAAAAAAATTAATATTTTAGGTCAACATACTTTTGAGCGGTTAAAAAACAAAGTTTTTCGAGGTTAGCCTTTAAAATTAAGCCAACTGGTGAAAATTTCATAAAGATTCATTGAGTAGATCAAAAGTTATGATAGAAAATCTAAAAGTCAACATACTTTTGAGCGCTACTGTATATATTGCGGTCAAGTTCTTTCAATCAATTGGTGCTGACTGGATTCTTCAACAACTCTTAACCTATACACGTTTGAATTGAATCTCGTCGGATTACCGCAGACATATAATCGCAGGCATGTATCTTTCAACAAGTTGGAGCTGATTATTATTTCATAATCTCAAATACAATCTTATATTTTTTATTTATTTTATATAAAATGTAATATACCCGGAACTTTGAACAGTCTTGTAATAGGAATCGTAGGGTTCTAAAAGTTGAAAATATACTTTTTTGAAATGGGAGAACTTTTGAAGAAAAAACTTATTAAATACATTTCATGTTAGGTTTTGAATATTGTTGCGATATTCAAAAGATGTATGCATCATGAACTGGAGAGAATTGTAGGGTTCTGAAGATGCTGGGTTAAAAGTCCAGAGATTATAAGTCCAGATACAAAAATCGTGCACAGAGAATTATAAATCCAGAAAATCAAAGTCAATAAAGCTTTATAATTCCAGTAAAAATTGCACCTGGACTTAAAAACCTCACATGCAGTTCATAAGTCCAGGTGCAAATACAGCTGGAATTATAAACTGCACATGAGGTTTTTAACAAGGGGTGAGGGCTCCTCAAAGATGCTGGGTTATAAGTCCAGAGATTATAAGTCCAGATACAAAAATCGTGCACAGAAAATTATAAGTCCAGAAAATCAAGGTGACTAAAGGTTTATAAGTCCAGATATAGCATGTACCTGGACTTAAAAACCTCTCGTGCCGTTTATAATTCCAGCTGTATTTGCACCTGGACTTATCAACTGCATGTGAGGTTTTTATGTCGAGGTGCAATTTGTATCTGGACTTACAAACCTTTATTGACTTTGATTTTCTGGATTTAAAATTTTCTGTGCACGATTTTTGTATCTGGACTTATAACCCAGCATCCCAAAATGGTCCCACAACGAATAATTTTATGTAATTACGCATTAACTGTGCTTTCGAGCTCATTCGACTAAGGATTATCTGTTTTTTAAAAAAATAAAACAAATCTTACATCATATTTGCAATCATAAACGTCGCTCCAAACAATATCTTTAAAGAATCGATGAAACTTTATATCTCTTATTCCGTTTTTCATACATCCTAACCTTTTTGTTCTGGAAAAATAAAAAAAAAATAATAACTTAAAAATGTTTTATCAATACGAATACTTTGGTTGATCCTTTCCTTACCTATCTACAGTTAAAAGTTTCTTTATCAAGTCCTTTGCCACTAAATCAATATTTTTTGGCCAATCAATTTTTCCATTAATAATAAGATCATACACTGCATACGGATCATTAGCATGATAAGGTGGACGTCCAACCAACATTTCGTATAAAAGTATACCCAAAGCCCAGAAATCAACTGACAAAAATTAATCATTAGTAGTAATTAATAACGAAAGTGGTAAAAATATTACCTCCTTTGTTGTGTCCTCGATTTTGTATAATTTCAGGGGCTAAATATTCACTTGTTCCACATATTGTCCAAGTACGCTCTTTTAATTTTTTGCAAAACCCAAAATCCGTAATTTTCAGATGTCCATCTGAATCCAACAGCAAATTTTCTGGCTTTAAATCCCTATTTGTTTTTCAAATGAAACAATGTATAAATAAGTGTGGGAGTTAAGTACGGCCGAAACCCCTATCGACAAAATTCAAAAGCTATACCTGATTTATGTCAGTTACAAAAACACTGCTTTTGAATTTTGTCACCCTCGGGAATCATATGAATTAGTATTGCTGATTTTGATCAAATTCTCGGACTTATTTAATAGCATAGTTTTTATTATCATATTCACACAAAATTTTCAATTTTTGTGAATATATTGTTTTTGGTTTTTCGGAAAATCAGTTTTTTTTAACTTTCTGCTTCAGGCTTACGGAATCAACCCAAATACCTGATATGTATTAGTTTGCCCTCAAAATACCTATCTAATGGTGAAAAAAATTTTTTTCATTTGGCAGTTCCAGTTCCGAGAAATCGCAAAAAAAGGCATTCTGTTAGTTAATCGGTGCGATAACTCGATTCAAACTCAATATTAAGACTTCCGGTTTTTTGCTTCTGATAGATAATGGCTATCGCAAGAACTGTATTATTATTATCAGAGATCGAAGCCGATTTTTTCGGCTTAACTCAATTTTTGATTTTTTTGATAGAAAAAAGCCATTTAACACCCATTTTAAGTATTTAAATTGAACTTTACATGCTTTACTATGATTCTGTGAAATATTTTTTCAGCATGTAGCTATAGTGAGCTCAGAATTTCAATTTAGTCAATGATAAGCCGATCGGCTTAAATTTCGGCTAAATTGAAATTCTGAGCTTACTATAGCTACATGCTGACAAAATATTACACAAAATCATAGTAAAGCATGTAAAGTCCAATATAAATACTTGAAATGGGTGTCAAATGGCTTTTTTCTATCAAAGAAATCAAAAGTTGAGTTAAGCCGAAAAAATCGGGTTCGATCTCTGTATTATAGTATTGTTTTTGGAGTCATAAGATGCTTCCAGTGAGGCACAAGATGCATAAACAATTTTGTATGGGAAAAAATTAACCGATTATTACATAACATATATTTTTTTTTGTTTACAACGGAAATATTTGTTGGTAGTAGTTTGATATTAATAAAATGGTTGTGACAGTATGCATTAAGTTAAATGTATGTGAAAAAATGTTGAAACTAGCGAGTTCCTTCACAAGATTCAGCTTACTGGATCTATGATATTGAATACATACTTTACTTGCATCATAATGGAAATATGTTTTTGGTTGCAGTATTGATTTTTTTCTTGCTGTATACTTACTGTATCTTGGTTCCAACGATAGCACAATTTCAATTTTAGTGGACTGGATTTAATTTTTAATGACAAATTAAATTATTTAACCAATTTTTCACAATGATCTCTCAATTTCAACAAATTGTCAAAGTTCACTAAGAACTTTTTCTTATTTCTTAATTATAAAAAAAAATTGAAATTGAAATTGTCAAAGCCCACTTAGAACTTTTTCTCAAATTTTACTGGATCATGGTTTCAAGTTTCAGTCATGATTTAAACTTTACTGGATCTTGGTTCCAAGATTTAGACATGCTTAAAACTTTACTGAAGTATAATAATTTTTTGCAGACATGATTAAAACATTACTGGATCTTGGTTTTAAGCTTCAGACATGATTTAAAACTTTACTGGATCTAGGTTTATTGTTTCAGACATGATTAAACCTTTACTGGATCTTGTTTTTAAACCTCAGAAATGTCTAAAACTTAACTGGATCTAGGTTTTATGTTTCAGACATGATTAAAACTTTAGTGGATCTTGTTTTCAAGCTTCAGACATGATTCAAACTTAACTGAATCTTGGTTTATTGCTTCAGACATGATTAAAACTTTACTGGATCTAGGTTTATTGTTTCAGACATGATTAAACCTTTACTGGATCTTGTTTTCAAGCTTCAGACATGTTTCAAACTTAACTGAATCTTGGTTTATTGCTTCAGACATGATAAAACCTTTAGTGGATCTTGTTTTTAAACCTCAGACATGATTAAAACTTAACTGGATCTAGGTTTTAAAGTTTCAGACATGATTAAAACTTTACTGTATCTTGGTAATTTGGTGCAAACATGATTGAAACTTTACTGGATCTTGGTTTTAAGTTTCAGACATGATTAAAACTTTACTGGTTCCAAGTTTCAGATATGCTAAAAACTTTACTGGGTCATTGTAATTTGTTGCAGACATGATTAAAACTTCACTGAGTTTTAAGTTTCAGCCATGATTAAAACTTCACTGGATCTTGGCTCCAAGTTTCAGACATAATTAAAATTTTACAGACTCTTGGTTTTGAGTTCTAGTCGTGGTTAATTTTGGATTCTTGGTCAATACATTTAAAAATCCTTTAAAAATCATTTAAAAACACCTGTAACCTATAAACCTACTGTAGTCCATTAACAGTTGAACGAAACGGAGTGAAACGAAGTGGAGTGTGAGCGAAGCTCACAAAAATAAAAATCCTTATAATACTTATGAGTAAAAAAATCTCAGATTTCAATAGCACACAAGTTGCAACAACTGGAGCGAAGCAGAAGTTGCAAAACTATCCAAGACTGTAACCTATGTTGAAGTCTGATCTACATAAGAGACTGACTGCGGAGCAGCAACTGGAGCGAAGCGGAAGTTGCAAAACTATCCAAGACTGTAACCTATATTTAAGTCTGATCTACATAAGAGACTGACTGCGGAGCAGCAACTGGAACCGATCGGCTTAAATTTCGGCTTAAAATCGGCTAAATTGAAATTCTGAGCTTACTATAGCTACATGCTGACAAAATATTACACAAAATCATAGTAAAGCATGTAAAGTCCAGTATAAATACTTGAAATGTGTGTTAAATAGCTTTTTTCTATCAAAGAAATCAAAAGTTGAGTTAAGCCGAAAAAATCGGGTTCGATCTCTGTATTATAGTATTGTTTTTGGAGTCATAAGATGCTTCCAGTGAGGCACAAGATGCATAAACAATTTTGTATGGGAAAAAATTAACCGATTATTACATAACATATATTTTTTTTTGTTTACAACGGAAATATTTGTTGGTAGTAGTTTGATATTAATAAAATGGTTGTGACAGTATGCATTAAGTTAAATGTATGTGAAAAAATGTTGAAACTAGCGAGTTCCTTCACAAGATTCAGCTTACTGGATCTATGATATTGAATACATACTTTACTTGCATCATAATGGAAATATGTTTTTGGTTGCAGTATTGATTTTTTTCTTGCTGTATACTTACTGTATCTTGGTTCCAACGATAGCACAATTTCAATTTTAGTGGACTGGATTTAATTTTTAATGACAAATTAAATTATTTAACCAATTTTTCACAATGATCTCTCAATTTCAACAAATTGTCAAAGCTCACTAAGAACTTTTTCTTATTTCTTAATTATAAAAAAAAATTGAAATTGAAATTGTCAAAGCCCACTTAGAACTTTTTCTCAAATTTTACTGGATCATGGTTTCAAGTTTCAGACATGATTTAAACTTTACTGGATCTTGGTTCCAAGATTTAGACATGCTTAAAACTTTACTGAAGTATAATAATTTTTTGCAGACATGATTAAAACATTACTGGATCTTGGTTTTAAGCTTCAGACATGATTTAAAACTTTACTGGATCTAGGTTTATTGTTTCAGACATGATTAAACCTTTACTGGATCTTGTTTTTAAACCTCAGAAATGCCTAAAACTTAACTGGATCTAGGTTTTATGTTTCAGACATGATTAAAACTTTACTGGATCTTGTTTTCAAGCTTCAGACATGATTCAAACTTAACTGAATCTTGGTTTATTGCTTCAGACATGATTAAAACTTTACTGGATCTAGGTCTATTGTTTCAGACATGATTAAACCTTTACTGGATCTTGTTTTCAAGCTTCAGACATGATTCAAACTTAACTGAATCTTGGTTTATTGCTTCAGACATGATCAAACCTTTAGTGGATCTTGTTTTTAAACCTCAGACATGATTAAAACTTAACTGGATCTAGGTTTTAAAGTTTCAGACATGATTAAAACTTTACTGTATCTTGGTAATTTGGTGCAAACATGATTGAAACTTTACTGGATCTTGGTTTTAAGTTTCAGACATGATTAAAACTTTACTGGATCTTGTTTTTAAACCTCAGACATGCCTAAAACTTAACTGGATCTAGGTTTTAAGTTTCAGACATGATTAAAACTTTACTGGATCTTGGTAATTTGGTGCAGACATTATTGAAACGTTACTGGATCTTTGTTTTAAGTTTTAGACATGATTGAAACTTTACTGGATCTTGGTTCCAAGTTTCAGATATGCTTAAAACTTTGCTGAATCATTGTAATTTGTTGCAGATATGATTAAAACTTTACTGAGTTTTAAGTTTCAGCCATGATTAAAACTTTACTAGATCTTGGTTTTAAGTTTCAGATATGATTAAAACTTTACTGGATCTTGGTTTTAAGTTTCAAACATGATTAAAACTTTGCTTGACCTCGGTTTTAAGTTTTAGACATTCTTGAAACTTTACTGGACCTTGGTATTTTGGTGCAGACATGATTGAAACTTTACTGGATCTTGGTTTTAAGTTTTAGACATGATTAAAACTTTACTGGTTCCAAGTTTCAGATATGCTAAAAACTTTACTGGGTCATTGTAATTTGTTGCAGACATGATTAAAACTTTACTGAGTTTTAAGTTTCAGCCATGATTAAAACTTTACTGGATCTTGGCTCCAAGTTTCAGACATAATTAAAATTTTACAGACTCTTGGTTTTGAGTTCTAGTCGTGGTTAATTTTGGATTCTTGGTCAATACATTTAAAAATCCTTTAAAAATCATTTAAAAACACCTGTAACCTATAAACCTACTGTAGTCCATTAACAGTTGAACGAAACGGAGCGAAACGAAGTGGAGTGTGAGCGAAGCTCACAAAAATAAAAATCCTTATAATACTTATGAGTAAAAAAATCTCAGATTTCAATAGCACACAAGTTGCAACAACTGGAGCGAAGCAGAAGTTGCAAAACTATCCAAGACTGTAACCTATGTTGAAGTCTGATCTACATAAGAGACTGACTGCGGAGCAGCAACTGGAGCGAAGCGGAAGTTGCAAAACTATCCAAGACTGTAACCTATATTTAAGTCTGATCTACATAAGAGACTGACTGCGGAGCAGCAACTGGAGCGAAACGGAAGTTGCAATATTATCCAAGACTGTAAGCTATATTGAAATCGGATCTACATAAAAAACTATCTACCCTGTTTTTTCGTTATAAGCTAGTAGCTTAGAAGAATAAAAAAGTGATTTTTTTGGCTCACTAGTAGCTTAGTAACGAGTAGTAGCTTAGTAAAGAAATTGAATTTCAATAGAAATTTTGAAATTTTTGACTTAATTAAAGAAATTTTGCTATCATTCCGATTTTATTTCATTGACAATGTTATCAGGCATTGAAACTGATACTTAGAAAGTTGAAAAAGATTAATTAAACTTTATTTTTGGTAGTAGCTTAGTAAAGGTTACAAACAATTTTCAAGTTCAAAAAAACTTTACTAAGCTAGTAGCTTAGTAACGAGTAGTAGCTTATAACGAAAAAACAGGGTAAGAGCATTAATTTGAGTGATTTTTCAATTTCATAATCTATCGTTTACTAAGTTAATGGCTTTCTACATAAGTCGTATTTTTCATATTTATAATTTTAAAAATTGCTATTTTTTGCGACACTAGAATCATGATTTTCGTTGTAAAACGTGTTTTTAATGCGTGGTATACTTTGTTGATAATACAGCAAAATGTTGATATTAAGTCTTTCATTTATTGAGAGAAGATTTTCCAAGATTTTCTGAACAACACATAGAGAGTTCTATAGGATTGTGTGAATATTCCCATGAAGCGTGATCGGCTTCATTACTAGTTTTTTATTATAAATTGATTAAAAGTTCCCACAGTAAAAATTTCAACCACTCGACTTTTTTTTGCTCTTTGACCAAAATCAGCTAGTTCATATGGTTCTCGAGGGGCCTCGGCCGTACTTCACTCCCACTAAAAGGCCGTTCACTTATTACGTTCGCATTTTAGGGGGGAGGGGGGGTTTGAAAAATTGTAACCAAATGTAACATAGGGGTGGGGGAGGGGGGGGGGGTTTCAAGAAGTATGTAACGTTCAAACTGTCGTCTGTCTTTTTAAAAAAGTTCACGAAAAAAATATTTGTTTACAAATTCACACCAAAAACATTTTTTTTAAATTTTCCACCTTTTTAATGATTTACGAATGTCCAGATCTCTTTTGATAGCTAAGCAATACATAGTTTTTGTCATATAAAGTAACAAATCAATAGAAAACTGAATTACAAGACTTTAAAATACAATCATAATTTGTGGAAATTTTTAAAATTAAATCAATCATAATTTTGAAAGTAAATCTCTCTAAATCTGTCATTCATATGATGATTAATATGATCCCATAATTGTGATATTTACATTCAAAGTTGATTGCATTTTCCAAAATTCGATCGGGCATAATATTTTTCATGACATTTTTTGAATTTTCTTCAAAAAAAAAAAATTAAATTTTTGCTTTATATCTCAATCCAATAATTCATGAGAATACTAATAGTATCAATCAAAACATGACCTATTTGGCTGTACAGTATTTTGATGTTTAAGAAAAAAAATACAAAAGAAATTTAACCGTCTTTTTAGAATAAAAAATTATCGAAATAAAATAAATTATGAACGTTCAGGGGGGGGGGGGGGGGGGGGGGGGGGGGGGGGGGGGTGGTGAGATGTAACATATTGTAACAAGTGGGGGAGGGGGGTGAAAAAAGTCGTTTTATTGCGTAACGTAATAAGTGAATGAGGCCCCTAAATAAGTTGATGAAAAAATTAAACCTTATCCAAGATTCAAAAAGTTTTATTTTAAGTTTTTTGTCAATACTTCTTTAATTGACTGTTAAATGTGTCTAAATAAAGATATCTCTGAAAAACAAAAAAAGTTCTCAATTAAACTGTTGTTAATTTTAGTATGTTTTGTCCATAATTTTTAAACTTTTATGATGTCAACTAATATTAAATTAAATTTCTGATTTTCTTGTCACAAAACCCTTTAAATTGAGTGAAAATCGATAGAGTTCTGATTAAATTCCCAAAAATTGTTCGTAAGTGACGCTTAATAATAGTGACTTATAGAAGCAACCGTTTAGATTGCCAAAATTATTCGTGTCCCAAAAGTGGAGGATTTTTATTTTTTACACCATGCAAAAGTTTTAAATAAAGATATATTGACAAAAAACTTTAAAAAAAATTTTTTTTTCACTAATGAAATCGCCCATAATAAATACAAATAAAACAAACCTATAAATGATATTCAATGAGTGCAAATATTCTATGGGCAGAATAATTTCTCTCGCATAAAAGTTTGCTGTTAAAGTGTTGAAGCATTTCATTTTACGCAGATAAGAAAAAAGCTCACCACCTGCTACAAACTCAAATATCTATTGTAAGGTAATTAAGTATTATTGCTCATATATTTATTTCAAAAAATCAACGTGCAATTTTACCATGTATAGATTTCTTTGATCCCTTGCAAAACTTTTCCTTTAAACAATAAAAAGAAGTCGAAATTTTTTATCTGAAGAAATTAGTTAAATCCAGAGCTCGAAGTCGATGAAATTTTGTATAGATTCGCATCAACTCCGCTTTACAAAATCGGTAAAAAAAAACTCGTGTCAAATTCGAGCTCTAGTTAAATCAAGATGAAATAAGTTAAATACAAATTATATATTTACATACATATTTACAATAAAAGGGTGACTAATTTCAAGAAGAACGTTCTTTTCATTTTTTACATGCTCTATCTGTTTTTTATTGATAACATCGTTTATAGGTAAAATCTTAACAGCATAATAAGTTTTTTCACTTCTTTCCGAACATAACACAACACGTCCAAAAGTGCCGGTACCTTTTCAAATAAAATATTAATTTTTTTTATTGCATAAGTGAGTATAAGTATACGTTAGACTTTTTATGTTAAAAAGTCAAAAAAGTTTATGAAAAATAAATTAAGCTCAAAATTTTAACAACAATTTCAGTTATTTAAAAAGTTTAAAAGAACTTTTTTTGTTAAGTAAAAAAGCTTCAGATTTATAAAATGCTTTTGTGGTAAATTATTATCAGATAACTATAATTGTGAATGATCGTCGTGTAAAAGAATGAAAAATTAAATTACATAAAAAGTTTATTTATTAAAAAACATTTAAAAAAAAATATTAAATAGGAAAAGGAAATGTGCTATGTAAAACAAACTGCAAGAAAAGGAAAATTCTAATAAAAATCTTTCTCTTTTAATACATAGTGAGCACGTAAATATTTTCTCTTAATTTTTTTTTATTTTGATGAGAAAAATTCATTTTTATAAAAGTCACTTGTAAGTCGTATATCATTTAATTTTTTAACACCCACATTAAATTTCGATAGTTAATTTAAATGTAAAAAATATCACTGACGATTTTTTAAATATATAGTTTAAAAATATCATACTAAGCTAAATTTTTGTCACACTTTAATGTTGACTTGTGGTATAAGCAGAATTTCGAGAAGTATAATTTTTTTTTATTTAAAAAAGTATTGTCACAACATTAAATTTTTTTAATATATTTCGAAAGTACTCAATTTTTTCTTTAAATAAAACATATTTTAAGCAATGTGTTATCATACAAAAATTTTCACACAGACTCGACGAGTAATGAATGCTTATATTTCTGAATTTTCATCTAGAATCATCTCATAAATACATATTAAGCTTATTTAGTTGATATGTAGAAAGCATTTAGATAAATTTGGAATGAATTACACTACCTAGTGTTTTCATTACATTAAAATTCAGTTCTTTTTCTTGGAGAAGATTTTCATCGTTTTTAAATTTACATGTGAGAGAAATTTCTTTTTCCATATTGACACTTTTTCACTAATTCCTTCCTTTTAAAAGTAAAATTTCACTTTTAATTTCTCTAAGATTTGCTTGAGTGGTTCTATGATGTTTTTAGGACGAACTCTTTTAAGACACTGAGACGACTTTTCACTATTGTCAACAAATATGCATACGTATGTATGTTTTCTTCCAAAATATTAGTCTCGTGCAAAAGCGAACCTAAAAATAGATGTTTCAGCATCTGTGCGATTTGCAGACACAATTTTAGGTGTTCATATAAATTTTTTTACACCAAAACTTATAATTTATAGTTTTGGATAAAACGTTTAAAACAAACATATTTTTGACTTTTAGAACTCGATCTGCACAAAATGTCAAATTGAAACAAGACAATCTCCATGTAATTTATTGCCGTGAATATGATATTTTGGTTGATAATGATTAGACAAATGATTGAAATTATTTGTGTTTCGAGAATGTACGAAAGAAGATTAAGAAGGAAAAAAATCTGTGTATCATAATAAATTTTACGTTCAGATGAGACTCACATTATGTGATTTTCTATATCTTTTCGTCTTAACGTCTACTGCTCCAGTTTAAAAATAATTTTTAAGAGTAAAAAAAAACATTTAAAAATGTAATAAAAATTGATTATTTCAGATTTTTCACATGCAGAAGAAAATAGACGAAAGTTGTTACTATTTTTCAATTTAAATCAAACCCAAATCTTAGTAATGCTTTTTATAATTATTTATTTGCTTCTTATATATATATATATATTTTATCTTTATTTTTTCCTTTATTATTACAATATTAAATTATAAGAAAAGCTTTTTACAAACCAATTATTTGTTAAAGGGAGTGAAAATGTAAAGGCGGAATAGTTGTTGATATTGGTTGATATTAGATAATAGATAAACTTATTAAATGCTGAAAATAAAAAAATAATTAGATTTGACAAAAAAAAATTAAATGTGTCTTTCACTTATTACGTAACGCAAAAACACCCCCCCCCCCCCCCCCCCCCCCCCCCCCCCCCCCGTAACAAAATTTGTATGAAAAACAATTTTTTTTTGTTTCAACCGTAACGAAATCTTAGGCCTCCCTCTCCCATAAAAGCGTTATATAATATGTGAGCGGCTCCTTAAACTATTATTTACCGAGATCTTTCAAACAAAGAGGGATCTGTATATATAGGTTCACTGTCATCGTCAAAATTTCGAGTTGATCCATTTGATTTGTTAATTGGGTTTATCACAGGTATTTGACAAATTCTAGATAAATTTCCAGTTGCAAATGTTTTCTGAAGATTTGAACCGAATATTGATACAGTTGAACTTGAACGGTATGCTTCATTAAAATCATCGTTTTTGTTTTTATAGTCTTGTGTCCCACTTTTTTGTGCATTTCTTTCGCGATTGTAATTTGTAAAGGAATTTGGACTTGAATGATAATCCAGAGAAGTGTTTTTCAAAATGATCTTCCAATATTTTCTGGTAAAGAATTTTTAGAAAATCAATAGTAATCGGAAATAGAAATTTTGTTGTTTAAGTAAAGTTAAAATCATACTTATACAATAGTCCAATTATAGTTGCCACTGTTAATAATAATGCAAGCAGTAACATAGTAGAAATTATTAATCCGTAATATTCAGTAACAGATAAGCATACACTCTCTGTATCTAATGATATCATTTTCTTGGCGATAGATTCTTGTTGCATTTCTTCTCTTGATTCGAATACTTCTATCATTTCTCTCACTTGCTCTGGAATATCTTCTTTATTTTCATTTTCTTTTTCTCCTTCATTTGCATTTTTTGTGCCTTTTCATTAACAAAAAAAAAAAAAAAATATTTAAATTGCAGATGATTTTATTTAAAAAAATCTTACCATTTTCCTTTTCTATAATTTTCGTAACAACTTCCTCGTGTGAATTTTGAATAATAGCATTTTCAGTTTCATTCAATGATCTTTTTTTCCTACCAAATGAAGGTTCTGAACGTCCACTAAGATTGTTGCAATATGCTGGTTGGCAACCGTCTCGACATGTGCGTACAGTTGCTTCAAAAACTAAAAAGTTTGATTCTGGTATTTTAAACGCATTGAAGCGAGCTTCTAATGAATCTCCATCTCTTGATCTTCCAAGTTCAGGAAAAACAAACGTATCTACCGGACATCTATAAAATACAATATTCAACATTTTATAAGGATTATACAACTTTTCACACAAATATTACCCATAGCGATCTATTAGCTGAACACTTCTTCCAGAGTATGGATCACGAGCAACAACGTTTGTGGCAAAAATGTCATTAATGTGATTATATCCATCTTGTGATTCTAATCTAAATGTTAATGGATCTCCAACAGCTATTGTTGTTGTTGGTCTACCTTGATAAAGTATCATTAGACGTACTTTTGAACTCATGCTATTTTCAGCTGGTAAATATTCTATTGGGACTGGACTTCCCGAGCTAATTCAAATTAATTTATTAAAACTATATATAGAATAATATTATTTAAATCATTAACACTCACCCCGCTCCGATATATCCTGAAGTAACAACAGATTCTCCGGGACCACGGAAAAGGCAGGTCAAGTTAAATCGTTTATCTCTGCTTGTTTGGAGATGTTCGCTAAATTGCACTACAATTATATTTGTCATGGTATCTCCATACTAGAAATATTTTTGATATTATAATTATGACTTTTATTAAAATTTGAGTAGCATTACCCTTTGTGTTCCACATTCTGGATATCCTTGAACACCACTTATACGAAGAACATTTACAGTTCCACCATTTCCTCGGAAAAAGCATCTTAATAAAAACAAAAATATTTAAGTTATTAATTAATTTAAAAAAAAAACTATTTAAATACCTATCGTAAAAGCCGTAAGTATATATTCGTCCAGCAAATGGTTCACCAGTTCTTAAAGTAAACTCCATTCCATCCTCATTACAAACTTGTGAAACATCCAGGCACTCGCCATCCATACTTCTTCCTCCAATAGATCTTTCATAAAAGTCGTAATTTGCATTTTCAAACATTTGAGGATTGTTAAGGTCCAATTCTCGAGTATCTCTATCACTAAGTTCACAGTTAAAAGATTCAACAGCTTGTTGTAGAGATCTTTCGCCATCATCTCTGTAATTGAAGCTTCTACATACAAAATCTTTAGCGCCAGAACATTCTCTTTGGCAGTGTATTAAATCACGTGCTTTTAATTTTTTCTTCACAAACTGATTTCTCATTTTCTGCCTCAAACCCATTTGTTTATAGCTGTCAACATCATCACAACGAGTTCCGGCCACAGGACGACTTTGTCCATAAGGTGATCCATACATATCAGAGCCAGGTGCATAATCTAAATCATGTCCTCCAAAACCAACCATAATATAAGGAGGGCGAGGTTGTCGAACGGAATTATATCCTCGGTTGTCTGGCTCATACATTGAGGGATGATTCATCGGAGGCATAAACATTGGAATACGATCTCTGTTCCCATATTTATATATATTTAAAGGAAACCTATCATTACCAACTGGAAATCGATTTTCAGATACTGGAGGCATACGGTTATAAGGCGGCGGCATCATAGGATATTCTGGATACCTGACACTATACATTGGATCAATGTTATAAGGTGTTTGGCCCCTGTTAGGTGGCAGTCTCATATCAGGATACATCCCTATGCTTGGATTTCTATCATCAGGAATGTATCTATCCTTTGGTACATTATTATTATTATCTGGATAACTATTGCTTGTTGGAGGATATTTTGGATTTGAATCAAGTGGATCACCCGTTGTGGGACGTAAAGGTTTTTCGAATCCTGGACCCGGCATTGGATAGCGATCTCTATCAATTGGAGGCATGGGGTAACGATCTCTATCATATCCAGACATAGGGTAGCGATCTTTATCATAGCCTGGCATTGGATAGCGATCTCTATCAGTTGGAGGCATGGGGTAACGATCTCTATCAGTTGGAGGCATGGGGTAACGATCTCTATCACTTGAAGGCATGGGATAACGATCTCTATTAGTCGGAGGCATTGGAAAACGATCTCTATCATATCCAGGCATCGGATAACGATCTCTATCAGTTGGAGGCATCGGAAAACGATCTTTATCATAACTTGGCATAATCGGATAACGATCTCTATCAGTTGGAGGCATCGGATAACGATCTTTATCATATCCAGGCATCATAGGATAACGATCTTTATCATAACCAGAAACCATTGGATAACGATCTTTATCATAACCAGGCATCATTGGATAACGATCTTTATCATAACCAGGCATCATTGGATAACGATCTTTATCATAACCAGGCATCATTGGATATCGATCTTTATCATAATCAGGCATCATTGGATAACGTTCTTTGTCATATTGATCAGTAGGGTATCGATCATATGGGCCATATGCTGGAGATGTTGGTAATCTATCTCCTAGTTGTGTGAAAAAATTACTTGTTAACTTACATAGGAAATTAAAAATTATAACAAATATTTTAAAAAAACTACATAATTTATTAAGCTCCTACCTGGATACATTGATGGATAACGACCTGGCATGTTTTGAGGATACCTGTCGTCTGGATGAGTTGTTGGCCAATCCATGTCGGGTCGTGTACTACTCATGTCTTTATCAGTTCCCACTTAAATAGATTTGTATATATATTGATTGCTATTCAAACATTACTTAAACAATATATTTATAAAATTAGAAAAGCTTACACATTAGATTTTCGTAATAATCATAATCTGCATCGTAAATGATTCGCTTGGAATCTTTTTGGTTATATCTGCTAAGTCTACAGGTTCTAAAACGGTCACTGTAAACAGCTGATCGGCATTGAAAACTTGTTTGACGTAAACATTCGTCCAAGCATTCACTCAAAGATCTTCCAGTTATTTCAGAGTGAAATTCACCACTTAATCGGCTATTGCGGTATCGTTGAAATGCAGTGTCGGGTCGACGACCACTCATTCCATCAAATAAATGTGAGGTTACAGAATTGTCAGGATATTCAGTTCCACGTTCTGTTAAAACAAACATTAGTTTATTCAAAATTTATTTATTAAAAAAATCTTACGATTATCAAGACAAACAAGATCGAAAAAATGATGATAATCGGAACTTATGGTTATATCATCTTTTTGTGAGACTGAATCTTCTTCTAACAATATGCATTGTCTGGTTTCTTCGTCAAATTCAATTGAACGACAGATGTATCTAGACAAAATAAAATGGATTGGTATTGTCTGTAAACAAAAATCAATTAAGAATTTACTTTTCTGCACGTAAACACATATTCTGGCATTCTTCTAAGGTCATATTATTAAAAATATCTACTTCGAATGGCCCTCCAAGTTTTTTGTTTGCTTCTTTAACGAATACAATTAATCCGTCGCATCGTCTATCAGCTTATTTCAAAAAAAGTAAGAATTAATACACTTTTTTTGTAAAACCCATCATTTACGTTAGTACATACAGTTAAGGCATGTGTTTTCCAAATAGTCTGAATTAGGATCATCCTCAAGTAACTCAGGGTGTGTTCTTCGTGTAAATCTGCTTAGTGAGCAACTTCTTAATGTTGAGTCATAATTAGCAGATCGACATACAAAAGAGAATTCATTCAAGCATTTATCTTCACAATCAGTACGGTTTGCGGCTGTAACTTCTTTTATATCTGATACAGGCAGCTTCAATTTTTTTCTTGGGTATCTTTCAAAAACATATCTTCTACTAGGGCATTCTCGTTCAGGGCGATTTGCTATATATAATTTATTTTTTTAATACTGTATAAAAAATGACAGATCATACTCACATGTTAGACAAATTTCATTAAAATGAATTGAATTTGGAACAAGCATTAAATTCCCGATTCCTTCAGGAGTTGCCTGTTCACGTGTCAAATAGCATGTTGATTCTTCATATTCAATATTCCCTCCATACGCAGCGATTCTCGAACCAGGTTGAAAATCAAAACTAGAACAAGCTCTTACTAAATTATTTGATACTGTTCTATCTCGTAAACATAAATCTTGACATTTTTCTAATGTTCTAAATGCTGGTGCACTATCTCTAACAACCTCATCGTCAAAGCCTTGAAGTTGCTGATTTGGTAACCTCTCATAAAATATTCTTCCTTGTCCATTATTACATGTAGTTTGTGCTAATATAGTTTTTGAGAAGCTGTATACAGCCAATAGCTGTATAATTGTTCGAGGATGTTGTATAATTTTCCACATTTTGCTACTTCATTTCTAGTCACAAAAACTTTTGAACTGTGAAGAAATAACTATTTTTAATGAAGGTAGAAAACAGTAACACAGATTTTTTGATAATAATAGTTCAGTGGCAATTTTAATGTCAATGACCATCGGTAATAGTTCGTATGATTAACCATCATTAATTCTATCTTTCAAATTAGTTGAGTAAATAGAGCACAAAGCTGGAAACATTGTTTTTACTAAAACTTTTTTTTGGACATTTATAAAAAATTAAAGGTTTTATTTCTTAAACTTTTTTCTAAGTTATGAAGCTTTTTGTCTTTTGTTTTTACAGTAAAATGTATTCAATAGTATTCTTAGATATTTTTTGTTTTAAAAAAGTTTTTTAATAGGGAAACTATATTTATTAAATTGAAACAATTTAATTTTAACTAAATGCCTATTTATTATAAGGTGTTATTCCTGTTATTCCTAGGGTCAATAAAATAAAATCTTAAGCTCAAGAAATAAGATTTCTTAAAAATTTCGATGAACTTTTAAAAGGATAAAATGAGATATTTATGTTTTTATTGACAGCAATTTTCAGTTTTAATCCTTGCTGTTTTTAATAAAGTCTTTAAATGATTTTTTTTTTCATGATAATCTTTATTATGTTTTACAAATTGTTGAAATCTTTTTAATTTCAATATCGAAAACACTTTTATAAAATCATAATTAACACTGTCCTAATATGTACCTGAATATTAAACCGATGCTCACTTCACTTAAACGAAATTTTAGAAAAAGTCCTTTAATTTTAATTTGCTTTTGAAATATATTTTTTGAATTTTCCTTAAAATCGCAAAACTATTCAAATTGAACTGTCAACTTCGATGGATCGCGGTGGACTGACTGATGATGTTAATTCATTATTAAGAATAAATTCTGTATTTGTTAAAAAAAAATTGAAGTTAACACTAGCATGAGTTCCATTTTAATTTTTTTATATTATTATTACAATTTACCTTTTCAAAGCTTTTGCATATAAATAATTTTCATTTTTTCTCATTAGTATAGAGTAAAAAGTTTATCAACCGACAACAGGAAGTTTGTACATTAAGTGTACATGCAAGGGTTCACAGAGCCATCAGATGTTCTGACACTATTTTTAATGTGCACGATTGCTCGCTATATGGAATCAAAAACTCGTTTTTTAAAAAATTTGAAATCTCTGTGCATGACGATTTTTAAAAACTACAAATCTATAAAATTTAAATTCATGAACTGATCATATCTCTTTTGCACCAGTACACCTATAACATTTTTTTTCTCTCTAAATACTGGACAAATAAAAGCGGAAATTCTTTTGTATTCGCATATCCGGAATTTTTAAAAAAAAAGAACTTTGAAATAATTTTATGGGTCGACGGCTCAATGCTATACTTAATACATGAAAGTGAGTAAAGAATATATAAAATGTTCGCACATTTTCAGACTGCTTCAATTGGAAATACTAATTAAGTTCAAATATTTAAGAACACTCTTAAAAAAAAAATGAAGCTCATTTAAAATTCAATGATCTTTTAAATATGTGTTTGATAATAATTTCATTTATAGTAAAATAACTTTTTCTAGGTATTCAAAATCATTTAAATTGAAAAAATGTTCCAAGAAATTTAAAAAGAGGAATTTTCAAAAAACATTACGTATTTTATAACGTGGCTAGTATTTTACCACGTTTTTCTATAGAATAATATTGAATAGTTTTATTTTAAAAAAATCATTTGGTTTTTAAAAATTTCATCTTTTAATGTAATATGCAATAGAAAAATCAATTGAAAAAATAACACTATAGACTATTGGTCATGATTTGCTTCTTAATAATTGACACCTGTGTTTTCTTTTAAAAAATATTTCAATTTTAAAATTTATTCAAAAATAGTTATTAGCAGAGAAAGATAAAATGTTGATCTAGAAAATTAGGAAAGGCTTTCAAATAAGATAATTGAGTAAACAATATATGACCAATATGTTTCAAAAATCAAGTGTGCAGGATGCTATTATAATAAGTTTTGGTTTTTTTATAGAATTAAAATAAATTCAGCTTTATTAATTTTGGATGGATACATTCTAAAGCATATGTTTATGAGAGAAAATAGAAGCAATAAAATTTGATTTGAATTGAAAGTAGAAAATGCTGTACATTAAAAATAGAAAAATGAGAAAGTAGAATGTTAAGTTGTTTTGAATTATCCATTTAACGCTCTATTTAGTAAAATTGAGTAAATTAGAATCTTTTTTTTTTCAATTTTAATTAGGTTTGATTAGAATGAATCAACATGAAGCTTTTTAGGATAAAAGAATGAACAACGTTCGAATAATGGAAACAATCCATAAATGAATATAATACAATCAAATTAATTGATTATAATATGTTCAGTAAATACAGACCAACTTCTAAAATACAAAAAGTATCAGTGATCGTCCATGACAATTCCAATCTAAATGTAATCAGTTTTTTGATCCTTATTAAAAATGCAAATAAACTTGTAAAGAAAATTTACTGAAAATAGCCAATAAATACGATCCTTTCTTGAATGAATTATTAGGTTTTCGTTAACTTTTATTTTGCACAAAATAAAAACAATAATTGTAAACTTAAATTATAAAGTTCTTATTCTAAAAAATACATGAAATTAATTGATTTGTAAACAAATCAGTATTTATGATTATGTAGCAATCAATTTGTGGTTTGTTGACGAAGTTTTTAAAGAAATTCGTAAAGACGATATTTTTCCCGAATGTGTGGTCGGACATCTTCGTTCTGCAATAATTTAATAATGACAGATTTTATTCAAACTAAATTTGATTTTTTTTTCTCTTACCAATTCTGCTAATCGTTCTAAAAAAGGCAAAATTTTGAGAAGTTCACAATCATCTTGATCGAAAAACCAGCTCTATAAAAAATAAAGATTAAACAATGAGTTTTTTAAATTTAAATTTTATAAATACCTGAATTGGAATGCCATTTTCTAATTGATATCCGAAAGCTTGGGGCGAATTATCAATAATAATGGTTTTTGACAAATCACGCCCAAGAATATTAAGATCTTTTACGTAATTACCATTAACAAGTACGCAATGCTCTCGAAAAAGTCGATACCTTTTTAAAAATTGAAAATTATGTATACGTCATGGAGAAACTAAAATTGTTTATTTTACCTTATCCATTTTCTCTCTGGATCTAATAAATTTAACAATTTATCAGCATAAATTCTTTTGCTTGCAGTAAATAAAATGACTTCAAAAGTCCTCGAAACTCTTTCGAGAAATTCTCTGAAGTAAGGTCTGGTTCTTACAAAAACAGTATACTTGCAATCCTGCAAATAAATGTATGTGTTTTTAGTGTTAATATTTCCAAAAGAAATATAGAAAAATATTTGATTTTACCTGAAAAAATACAGGAAAACTGAAATTTGCATCCTTTAATTCCTGTAAACTACAGTGAACTAAAGTTTCATCCAAATCAAGAACAAGTGTGAAATTTTTTGAGCTTCTTGTACGGATAGGAAGTGCTGGACATTTAGTTCGTATTTCTGTCAAAGGTGGCAAATGCTTTATAAATGTATAAGGGTCGAACTCTAAAGTTACTTCATGTTGCTCTTCATTATCGGTTTCGATACATTCGTGCTATAATTAAAATATTATTTTGATCCTTTATATTATCATGTATATTTAATTTTAAAAGATAAAATTATTTGCTTAAAAAATGTCAACGTACTTCATCGTAGTTTTTGTTTATATCCTTCACACCATAACTAGTGCTAGAATTACTGTAGCAAGTTGATGATATAATGTGATTTGAACAACTTGCGTATTGTGTATCCGTTTGATTTGTGTATGTTAAGTTAAAATTGTTGTTTTCAACTCGATTCAGAAATTCTTGCGTTTCATCTTCAGAATCGGCTGGTTTGCATAAATCATAGTTAATGTCTTTGTACAAGCATATAGTTTTATCCTCAATATATGCTGTTTCCATTTCGTACGCACAACTCTCTTCATCGCCACATTTTTCTTCGAATGAGATTTCTAAAACGAAACGTTCATTGTTTTAAATTCACTATACCCTTCTTACAAAAAAAAAAAAACTTAAACTTACTTTTAAGTAATAAATCAGATACTGCAAATTCGGTAGAACTTTTAACATAATTGCCATCGAAATCGTATTGAGTATTAATTGCATGAAAATGATCAGAACTGCTACCATATTCATCAAATGTTTCATTTGACGGTATTGCACTATTTCGAATATTTAAATCACTATTTACATTATTGAGATCATATGAGATTGTTGTCGATTGCCCATATTGATTCAAATTTATTTTATGTGGTTCTGACGAAAATTCTGAATTATTCTTAATTATATTATGTTTTTCTTTATATTTCTTGGGCTCAGATGTTTCATCATTGTACATTTTTAAATCATTTGTATAATACTGTGATGCTGCTAGAACAGATGCCTTCTTTTCATTTTTCATTAATTTTATGGTTTTACAATATTGATTTCTTGTTCTCTTCCTTTTTTTCCTGTGACTATGTAAATACTTGGTTTTTATATCATCTCGTTTGCGAAGCTCTCGTATTGAAGTCCTTGTATAGCTTCTTAGCCACATATTACTTTTAATTAAAAATGTTTTTGCCAAATTTAATCTATAGTTTGTTTTTCCGTTAATTTTACTTGTGCAATTTATTTAGCCTATCTTGTTTGAGATTAATTTTCACTCATTTTGAATGTGTTAGTGCGCATATATTTTTTATGCACTTACTTTATTCAAAAGTTTCTTTTCGAATAAAAAGTTTGTATGTAGCCAGATGCAAAATATACGGCAGTAAACTATGAATGTTGAATATAGATTTCAAAAGAGTATATATTTCAACCTTTTAACGTTTTTTTGCGCATTAAATGCAAGCATGTAACAAGTAAATTTTTATTTCACATTGCTTTGAAAATTTATAAGAGCTTTCTTTTCAGATTTGCTTGCTCACCTCTTTTGCGCTTTGTTAAAAAAACAGTTCTTCAGTTGCGTTCAGATATTCAGTTTGTTAAGATCTTTACTAAGTTAGCATTAATTTCTCTCAAGTCGCATTTTCTTTCTTATTGTGAAAACATACAATTCACTTTCTACTAGTTAATTATGACAAAAATGTGACAAAATGTGCGTAATTAATATTTAAAGAATATCAAAAGATGTTCACTTCATTTCTTAATTTTTAAACAAAAAGTTAATACTGAATTATTGATAACTTTAAAATACCCTTAGTGAATAAGTTTGGCATTATTTGATAAAAAAAAAAACCATTGAGTTATTTTATTCTTCTTTTTTTGATCGACTTTTTCAATGATCGGGACTTTTAAAGCTCCACTTACATTATAATAACCTGGTCATTGATAAAACAAAATAAAAGTTTATGTTTATTCTTTGATTAGTTTAATTGAGTTGATGATAATACATATTTTTATATTTTAACCATAAAGTGGATGTTGCTGCTGAATACCAAATATGAATTGCAGCCACTTCAGAGCATCAAATCTTTTAATCATGGTATGCCGTAACATAACGGTCATTTAATTTAGTAAGTAACTAGAGAAAAATATCGTAATGTTAAAATTGTAAAAGAAGAAACGATACTTGAAGTAAGAAAAAAATATTCTTTATTAAACGGTCAGTGTGCAAGACTTTAATAGAACAGAAGATGGTAGTATGAAATCAGATCAACAAGTTTTATAAATGAAATCAAGCTGGAAAAAAAAGAAAATTGAAACTCAATCGTTGAGAGAAATTCTATTAGTGAAGAATCATTATGGAAATACTATATTGTTCAATATATTTTTTATTGATTTATGTAAAATTTATTAATGGAACGAGTGTAAATTCGAAACCTGGAACAACGGTTAGTGCTAATACTTTTGTTAACATTACGCGACACTATGATGGAGATATTATTTTTATTGAAGGTAAATCTTAAAATATTTATTATTATTTTTAAAATTTATATTACATAAATTGAAACCGTTTTTTTTTTCATATTTTCGACTTGATTTCTTGAAGATGAAAAAAATTGCAACGAAAATACATGTTTAGAACTTTTGGGCGGCAGTGCTACTCTTTATAAAGAAGTTAAGGCTTCAACTAAACCAACAAAATGCAAATGTCAATGTGTCAGTCATTTAAAAACTTATCGTGAAGATGACGGTTATTGCGTTGATACCATACGAGGTATACAATATAGTATATTCTTGAAATTGAATTCTGTGTCACACAATATTTTTATTTCATTACAGAATGTTCAATAATACCGTTTGTCAGCAGCATTACTGCTTTAGATACGTTAGAAAAAATTCCATCAGTATTTCTACCATTACAGGGACAAATAATATATCCCAGTAAAGAATTATTTTTGGGTGATGGTAAGAATTATTATAATTGAGTTTTTGAGTCCTAATAATTATTATTTTTTTGGACAACTTTAGAAGTAGACACAAAATGTGTAATTGTTGATGCAAATTATATGACAACACATGGTTGGAGTGATATGAAAAATTCTTTATATACCAACGATATTCCATTTCGGTATGTATGGTATAAATTTCTATTAAACAAATAAATCATAAAATTGTTGAAATTCGAAACTTTTTATATAGCCTTTTTAATGACAAAAATCGAACATTCTTGCAATGGTCTGGAGATGCATCGTATCGTTCTCTCTTGCAAGGTCGATTGGTTATACTAAAACTTGCTTGTTGGAAGGATGCAAATATAAATTTGAACAGTATCGAAGATCCATTGAAGACAATTAGAAATCTATCATCATGTATATCGTTTCGTGTACTTGGGAGTTTACTTAAGCACGCATCAAGTAAGTGAAATAAAAATATTGAGTATTTTTAATGAGATGAACATTTAAATTTCATAACTTCTTAAAATAGATATAACGGAAGTTCAATTTTCATCAGAATCTACGGGTGAAAAAGAAACTTTTTCCTCAAATGAATATATCATAATAGCAATAAGCAGTTTTTGTTTAGGAGTTATGTATATTGCATCTGTATTTTTATATATTTATCTAAAGAAGAAAAAAGATAGACCTGATTTATCAATTTCAGAAAGCAACGACAAGAACTTTACACGTGGAGGTAAATGAGCATTAAATGAATTTAATGTTATTTCTTACTTACTTAATTTTTTTTAATTAACAGTAAATATTGACCTAGAAAGTCACAGTTCAAATTATCATCGAAATTCCTCGCTATCAACTTCAATGGATTTTTTGGATAATCCAGAGGCAAATGTCATCAAAAGCAATCCTTTGATGAAACATTTTTTAGGTTTTAATGAGAATTGTGCATTTGTCAATGATTCATCTGACGCGGATTCATCAAATAAAGATGATTTGATAGATAATTCAGAACGAGAGTTTATGGACTCACAAAGCATGCAAAGTAGTAATAATCAGGAATGTATACCCGATGAGGATATAAACATAACAGAAGATAATGATTCTAAAAGCAGCTATGGACTTCAAAATAATAACACAAGAAGAAAACTTTACTTTAATCCAGCTTATTTTGAACCGGAGCTGTTGGCTTCACCACCTCAAGCAGCAGTTGAATTTTTAACAAAAATAAGAGAGGTAATTTCGATGGCCAAAAACAAAATGACATCAAAGCGATTTCAACCAAATTTACAATATATTCCCGAAGAAGAGGATTGTTCAAGCGAAAGCAGAAAAAATACAATTAGTAGTCGTCGTAGTAATTTGAATGACAACTGCACTGGCTGTCCTGGATGTTCAGTTAAATCAATAAAAAATAATCAGTTGTTAAATGACTGTAAGAATTGTGGTGACAAAAATAAGAGCATACAAAAATGGCTTGAAAACGTTTGTAATGATACAAATGAAGTTTCGACAAGTTCAAATTTCAGTGAAAAGTCAGAAATTCCACTTATTTCTAAAACTATTAACGATGAGATAATTGAAGAAAAATCGTCAGCTGATGAATCTTTAAAACAAAAGAATGTTAAAGAAGAACTGAAAATTGTCAAAGGATTTGTGAAAGAAAAAAACATTTTTGTGCAGCGTGATCGCAACGGCCAGGAACAAATACTCGAGAATGACTCGATTCCAAAAATAATTTCACACAGCCTTAAAAAGAACATTAAAGAAATGATTTATTCACAAAATTTTGTCAGAGACAAAGTTAATGTTTTTGAATCGAAAACTCATGATCAACAATCAACGAATAAATATGGCGAAACACATGAAATATATAATAATCCAAAATTTATGATGGATAATGATTCAGAAGTGAATATTTTTGAATCAAATGTTAATAAAGAAAAACAGGAAGTATTAGATCAGTATTCAAATCCTATTAAACGTTCAAACAGAAAGAAAAATAATAATTCAAATAAAATGCCGGATATGGTTTATGAAGCTATTGAAATGGAAAAGAAAAATTGTAAAACTCTAAATTACCAATCACCTACACCCGATTATTCAAGTGAATACGAAATGACGAAATTCAAAGCATCATATGATAACGTTTCGTTTGCTCCATTTGTTCCAACTCCAGATTACTATCATACATATAGTAAAAATACATTGAAAAATTTAAAGCATTATCAACCTGACTCACCTATATATTCACGAAAAAGTCCTGCATATTTAATTGTTGATTATGAAACAGATAGTTTAGAAAGATTAAATACATTGAAGAGTATTAACAGATCTGCTCTTACTCCTACAAAGAGCGATTTCAGTAGTTCTCAGCCTAGTCCGATAGGAGCTTTACCTATGGAAGAGGAAGTTGAAATAAGAAATGCCTTGTATGACAAGGAGTTGAGGTTTCGGAAAGACACAGATACAATAAAGAAGGAACGAGAAATTGATATTCAAATGAAGAAAACAAAAATTAAATATAATACACCAATCGAAGGAAGTATGACAATTGAACTAGAAGGTATTAGTCCAGATGAAAATGATGAAAATAGTGATAATAGTGATGAGTTTGAGCCAGACACGCTTGATCGTCATACAAAAGTTAATAGAAATTTGTTATCAGAAATTGAGCGAGCAACGCAAATCGATAATAAACTTAACGTAAATGATGAGTTTGGGCGTATTTTGACTTTAGAAATAAGACATTCGAAACGACAAAGAAATGTAGGAGAAGCATCTTTAAAAAAACTTCCCAGTGATCAACATTTAAGCTTGAAACAATCTATTCAGCCTGATGTAATTTCAAGCAATAAACCTGTATATATTAACAGAAATCAGATTAAAAAATCACAAATTTCAGCACCTATTTCTTCAACTGGATTGGAATTAGCGGATAAAAAGGTGGTGAACAAAACTTTACGAGGAGAGTTTTTAAAGATGGATCTACTTAGCTTACAAACAAACTTTTTAAATGCTCAATTAAACAGCAATGATCAGTCCTCTTTGATTAAGACTATATATCATGTTGATGTTCCTCACTCTCCACAAATATTCAGAGAAAATGTCAAAAAGACAAAAGATTTTAAAAACGCTTGGAAACGTTTCATGGGATTAGCATCGTCAAAATTAAAAATGTATGATGTAAGTGATGAAGACGAGGAAAATGACAAAAAGAAAACCACTCAAAAAAGTATAAATGGAATTGCTTCAGAAATTAAGCAAGGAAAAGTGAAAGATATTGTTAGAAAAATGAGCATACGATATATGGACACAGGAAAGTTAAGGGAAAACGATAGTGGATATTTAAGTGCAGAATCATTGACAAATGAAAGAGTTGTTTTTGGGCAACTGGCATCAAACAATTTGAATATCGAACATAATACGAAAACTCTTCTTGCAAGGCCTTCACTTCCTCCTCCTCCAGTTCCTATAAAAACTAAAGAAATTCCATCATCAAACACATTCGATTCTGTTAGCAACGAGGATTTAATAAATATAACAATCTATTCTTCTGATGATGATGATGATGATCAGAGTAGCTCAATTCATGACAATGATACACATGTTGACACATGTGAAGATATTGATGCAGATTCAGATTTTAGTTTTATAAACTAATTCAATTTTACATCGTGCCAACATAGAGAAGCTTTTGATTACAAAACGAACGTGCAATAAATATATTAATTAATAATGAACAACAGTGAAAAAAAAGATAATTTTTGTAAACCTTTGTGCAATAATAATAAAGAACTTTTATTTATTTTTTTATATTATATTTAAAAAAATAATTTAATTCCGAGTTCTTATGAACGTTTGATACAGATTTCTAGTTTCAAAAAAGTTGTCTATAAAATTTTTTTGTATAAAACGACTGACCAGCAAGTTGCGAATTTAAAAAAAATTCTTGAAGAAAGAACGTTTTAAAATAATTTTAACTGCAAATTAAGGGCATATAACGGATAATAATATGATTTGATGTGATGAGTGGAAGTTATTTTTTTTGAAAAATGTTTTAATAAGTTTCTTTTTAAATGCCTAGGTATGTGTTGTTACTGTCTAATTTCCAAAACATTAGAGACATGAATCGCTGAAAAACTCTCCAAAAATGATGTAAATTGCACAAAATGATACAAGAAAATGTTCGTTAAATTTTCAAAAATTACTAAAACTAAACATATACAAGGAGAACAAAAGATTTAATTTACCTAGACGAATTAGCTTCTTTACATGACTTTAAATAATTAATCAACTTATCACGACATAATCTTTATTGTGAAATCTAAAGTGTCAAGGGGAAAAAAATGAGCACAAGATATTTTTGAACATTTTTTTCAATCCTGGATTATTTGTGTCTCCGAATAATTCTTTGTTTCTTTGTGAATTTTAATATAAAATAATACTATAAATTCTGCTCCTGTTATAACGTAGTGAAAATCTCTAAGGAAAATTAAACTGTGACACAGCTCATTCGAGATTTGTAAAAGAAGTCTTGTATGAAGATTCATTGAAAATATTAACATAAAAACAGCAACAATGAATGAAAATGGTGAAGTGAAAAATTTAGATCGCTTTAAAATTTTATATCCCAACGTAACTGAACCTTTGCCATTATGTTGGAGTAGCACAGAAAAGAATAATTCTATAGGATTATCAAATGGAAATTTGCGTGTTCATTATAAAGGTAAATTATAAAAAAAAATAAAATATGAGAAAAAAAGTCATTACATAGATAATATATAAAATATGAATGTTTGTTCAGGAGTTGGAAAATCACACAATGATGCAGCATCTGTCCGAACAAACTGCCCTATTCCAGCATCTTGTGGACTTTATTATTTTGAAGTAAAAATCATTTCAAAAGGACGAGATGGCTATATGGGAATTGGATTAACAGCTTCTTCAGCATCTAGTTTTAAAATGAACAGATTACCAGGTATTATTTTTTAAAGTGACTTTTAAAAATATTGAAATAATGGATAAATACTTTCTTTATGAAGGTTGGGATAAACAATCGTATGGTTATCATGGCGATGATGGAAATTCATTTTGTTCGTCCGGAAATGGACAACCTTATGGACCTACTTTTACTACAGGCGATGTAATTGGATGTGGCGTAAATTTAGTTGATAATACTTGTTTTTATACCAAAAATGGTCATCACCTTGGAATAGCCTTTCGAGATTTACCAGCGAAGTTATATCCAACTGTGGGACTTCAAACACCAGGCGAAATTGTTGATGCTAACTTTGGTCAAAAGCCTTTTGAGTTTGATATTGAAGACATGATAAAAGAACTGCGTGCTTCAACAAAAGCAGCAATTTATACGTTCCCATTGCCTGAAGATCAAAGTGATTGGACTGTAATCATGCAAAAGTATTTTGAATTGTCTTTAATAATCATACACACTTGGCAAATAATAAAACAAATTTTTTTAAGGATGGTTTTATCATATCTAGTACATCATGGATATAGCTCGACCGCAGAAAAGTTTAGTGACGTTACTGGTCAAAACTTTGCGGAGGATATTAATAACATCAAAACTCGGCAAAGTAACATGAAATTTAAAAATGATTCAGGATTATTAAGCTAATGACTGTCTTCATTTCTAGAAATCCTTAAATTAGTTCAAATGGGAAGAATTGGACAGGCTATTGAATTAACGAACAAATGTTTTTCGGGTAACATGAAATTTTTTTTTGGGAATATATCACATAAATATCTTAATTCTATTTGCAGGTCTATTAGATTCAAATCAAAATTTGTTATTTATGCTGAAATGTCGTCAGTTTGTAGAAATGGTGAATGGCTCAGATTTGGATGTAATGGAATTTTTTAATTTCGTTATCATCATGCTTTCGTTTTTTAATTTTTGATTTTTCATTTCTGTGCAGACATCTTCACATCCATCCGTGATTCAATCCACGAAACATTATCAACCTGATCTATTAGATCAAACGTTTAGTAATGACAATCAAAATTATTCAATATTCAATGAGGAAATAAACACTCCGAACCAGCAACAATCTTTTAAGTTTAAACGAATAAATGATTACATTGAAAATCATTATCACGACAGTAATTCTGAAGATATTGATATGGATGAAAATGGAGGTGAGATTAAAATGTAAAGCAGTATGAATATTGATACTTATTATCATGGGCTTTATATAGGTTACAATAATAACTCAAAAGCATCAATAGATAATACAAATGATGATTCAGACGATATGGATGTTGATGTTTCTCCTATTAGCAACAAATCTATAAAATCTGGTATTGAGAGAATGCTAGAATTAGGTAGAGAACTTTTGCAAATGAGTTTGCGATTAGAGAAAAAATATCAGAATGTGAATGACGAGATAATAGCTGAAAATCGGAAAATGATGGAGGTAAATTTTTATTTTCCTATTCCTTTATTACGAAATTTTACTTTTGATATGATTTCAGGAAGCTTTCAGTCTATTAGCTTACTCAAATCCATGGGCTAGTCCCGTTGGAAAACAATTATCTCCATCAAAACGAGAACCGATTTGTGCGAAATTGAATTCAGCTATACTAGGTATTTTTCTTTCTCCTAATTTTAATATTTTGTATTATTTTATTTGTATTTCTTTTTGTCCATTTTAGAATCTATGAATTATCCAACTCGGCCGCCTTTAGAGCTATGTCTTGCTCATACTCGTCAATTGATGACTGAAATGTCAGATAATTCGCTTGGTTCTTGTGCTTTTGTAAACATGGACGAAATTATCGGTTAATATTTTTGATCCAAGTTTCATGTAAATAATACAAATAATAAACAGAAATAAAGCTCGTTGCAAATATATTCTCAAAACAAATGTTTTGGCTTAATTTTTTTTCTGATAATATGTAATTAAAAGCATTTTTGGTTTCGATCATAGTAGGCTATTTTCATAAAATATCGATTTTATATCTATATTAGCATTCTTTATCATTTATAAAACCAAGATAAGTTTTAAAATGCAACTTAAAGCATTTTTGGTTTCGATCATAGTAGGCTTTTTTCAAAAAAATATCGATTTTATATCTATATTAGCATTCTTTATCATTTAAAATACTTAGATATGTTTTAAAATGCAATTTAAAGCATTTTTGGTGTTGATCATAGTAGGCTATTTTCAAAAAAAAAAATTATCGATTTTATATCTATATTAGCATTCTTTATCATTTATAAAACCAAGATAAGTTTTAAAATGCATTTTAAAGCATTTTTGGTTTCGATCATAGTAGACTATTTTCAAAAAAATATCGATTTTATATCTATATTAACATTCTTTATCATTTAAAATACTTAGATATGTTTTAAAATGCAATTTAAAGCATTTTTGGTGTTGATCATAGTAGGCTATTTTCAAAAAAAATATCGATTTTATATCTTTATTAGCATTCTTTATCATTTATAATACCTAGATATGTTTTAAAATGTAATTTAAAGCATTTTTGGTTTTGATCATAGTAGGCTATTTTCAAAAAAATATCGATTTTATATCTATTAGCATTTTTTATCATTTATAATACCTAGATATGTTTTAAAATGCAATTTAAAGAATTTTTGGTTTCGATCATAGTAGGCTATTTTCAAAAAAATATCGATTTTATATCTATTAGCATTTTTTATCATTTATAATACCTTATCTAGGTGTTTTAAAATGCAATTTAAAGCATTTTTGGTTTTGATCATAGTAAGCTATTTTCAAAAAAAATATCGATTTTTTATCTATATTAGCATTCTTTATCAATTATAATACCTAGATATGCTTTAAAATTCAATTTAAAGCATTTTTGGTTTTAATCATAGTAAGCTATTTTCAAAAAAAATATCGATTTTTTATCTATATTAGCATTCTTTATCATTTATAATACCTAGATATATTTTAAAATGCAATTTAAAGCATTTTTGGTGTTGATCATAGTAGGCTATTTTCAAAAAAATATCGATTTTATATCTATATTAACATTCTTTATCATTTAAAATAATTAGATATGTTTTAAAATGCAATTTAAAGCATTTTTGGTGTTGATCATAAAAGGCTATTTTCAAATAAAAAATTATCGATTTTATATCTATATTAGCATTCTTTATCATTTATAAAACCAAGATAAGTTTTAAAATGCAATTTAAAGCATTTTTGGTTTCAATCATAGTAGACTATTTTCAAAAAAAAAATATCGATTTTATATCTATATTAGCATTCTTTATCATTTATAATACCTTGATATGTTTAAAACTGCAATTTAAAGAGTTTTTGGTTTTGATCATAGTAAGCTATTTTCAAAAAAATATCGATTTTATATCTTTATTAGCATTCTTTATCATTTATAAAACCTAGATATGTTTAAAAATGCAATTTAAAGCATTTTTGGTGTTGATCATAGTAGGCTATTTCAAAAAAAATATCGATTTTATATCTATATTAGCATTCTTTATCATTTATAATACCTAGATATATTTTAAAATGCAATTTAAAGCATTTTTGGTGTTGATCATAGTAGGCTATTTCAAAAAAAATATCGATTTTATATCTATATTAGCATTCGCTATCATTTATAATACCTAGATATGTTTTAAAATGGAATTTAAAGCATTTTTGGTGTTGATCATAGTAGGCTATTTTCAAAAAAATATCGATTTTAAATCTATTAGCATTTTTTATCATTTATAATACCTAGATATGTTTTAAAATGCAATTTAAAGAATTTTTGGTTTCGATCATAGTAGGCTATTTTCAAAAAAATATCGATTTTATATCTATTAGAATTTTTTATCATTTATAATACCTAGATATGTTTTAAAATGCAATTTAAAGCATTTTTGGTGTTGATCATAAAAGGCTATTTTCAAAAAAAAAATTATCGATTTTATATCTATATTAGCATTCTTTATCATTTATAATACCTTGATATGTTTAAAACTGCAATTTAAAGAGTTTTTGGTTTTGATCATAGTAAGCTATTTTCAAAAAAAATATCGATTTTATATCTATATTAGCATTCTTTATCATTTATAATACCTTGATATGTTTAAAACTGCAATTTAAAGAGTTTTTGGTTTTGATCATAGTAAGCTATTTTCAAAAAAAATATCGATTTTATATCTTTATTAGCATTCTTTATCATTTATAAAACCTAGATATGTTTAAAAATGCAATTTAAAGCATTTTTGGTTTTGATAATAGTAGGCTATTTTCAAAAAAAATATCGATTTTTTATCTATATTAGCATTCTTTATCATTTATAATACCTAGATATATTTTAAAATGCAATTTAAAGCATTTTTGGTGTTGATCATAGTAGGCTATTTTCAAAAAAAATATCGATTTTATATCTATATTAGCATTCTTTATCATTTAAATTACCTAGATTTGTTTTAAAATGCAATTTAAAGCATTTTTGGTTTTGATCATAGTAGGCTATTTTCAAAAAAATATCGATTTTAAATCTATTAGCATTTTTTATCATTTATAATACCTAGATATGTTTTAAAATGCAATTTAAAGAATTTTTGGTTTCGATCATAGTAGGCTATTTTCAAAAAAATATCGATTTTATATCTATTAGCATTTTTTATCATTTATAATACCTAGATATGTTTTAAAATGCAATTTAAAGCATTTTTGGTTTCGATCATAGTAGACTATTTTCAAAAAAAAAAATATCGATTTTATATCTATATTAGCATTCTTTATCATTTATAATACCTTGATATGTTTAAAACTGCAATTTAAAGAGTTTTTGGTTTTGATCATAGTAAGCTATTTTCAAAAAAAATATCGATCTTATATCTATATTAGCATTCTTTATCATTTAAATTACCTAGATTTGTTTTAAAATGCAATTTAAAGCATTTTTGGTTTTGATCATAGTAGGCTATTTTCAAAAAAATATCGATTTTAAATCTATTAGCATTTTTTATCATTTATAATACCTAGATATGTTTTAAAATGCAATTTAAAGAATTTTTGGTTTCGATCATAGTAGGCTATTTTCAAAAAAATATCGATTTTATATCTATTAGCATTTTTTATCATTTATAATACCTAGATATGTTTTAAAATGCAATTTAAAGCATTTTTGGTTTTGATCATAGTAGGCTATTTTCAAAAAAAATATCGATTTTATATCTATATTAGCATTCTTTATCATTTAAATTACCTAGATTTGTTTTAAAATGCAATTTAAAGCATTTTTGGTTCTGATCATAGTAGGCTATTTTCAAAAAAATATCGATTTTAAATCTATTAGCATTTTTTATCATTTATAATACCTAGATATGTTTTAAAATGCAATTTAAAGCATTTTTGGTGTTGATCATAGTAGGCTATTTTCAAAAAAAATATCGATTTTATATCTATATTAGCTTTCTTTATCATTTACAATACCAAGATATATTTTAAAATGCAATTTAAAGCATTTTTGGTTTTGATCATAGTAGGCTATTTTCAAAAAAAAATATCGATTTTATATCTATATTAGCTTTCTTTATCATTTATAATACCTAGATATGTTTTAAAATGCAATTTAAAGCATTTTTGGTTTTGATAATAGTAGGCTATTTTCAAAAAAAAATATCGATTTTATATCTATATTAGCTTTCTTTATCATTTATAATAACTAGATATGTTTTAAAATGCAATTTAAAGCATTTTTGGTTTTTGATCATAGTAGGCTATTTTCAAAAAAATATCGATTTTAAATCTATTAGCATTTTTTATCATTTATAATACCTAGATATGTTTTAAAATGCAATTTAAAGCATTTTTGGTTTTGATCATAGTAGGCTATTTTCAAAAAAAAATATCGATTTTATATCTATATTAGCTTTCTTTATCATTTATAATACCTAGATATGTTTTAAAATGCAATTTAAAGCATTTTTGGTTTTGATAATAGTAGGCTATTTTCAAAAAAAAATATCGATTTTATATCTATATTAGCTTTCTTTATCATTTATAATAACTAGATATGTTTTAAAATGCAATTTAAAGCATTTTTGGTTTTTGATCATAGTAGGCTATTTTCAAAAAAAATATCGATTTTATATCTATATTAGCTTTCTTTATCAATTATAATACCCAGATATGTTTTAAAATGCAATTTAAAGCATTTTTGGTTTTGATCATAGTAGGCTGTTTTAAAAAAAAAATAGATTTTACATCTATATTAGCTTTCTTTATCATTTATAATACCTAGATTTGTTTTAAAATGCAATTTAAAGCATTTTTGGTTTCGATCATAGTAGGCTGTTTAAAAAAAATAGATTTTACATCTATATTAGCTTTCTTTATCATTTATAATACCTAGATATGTTTTAAAATGCAATTTAAAGCATTTTTTGTGTTGATAATAGTAGGCTATTTTCAAAAAAAAAATATCGATTTTATATCTATTAGCATTCTTTATCATTTATAATACCTAGATATGTATTAAAATGCAATTTAAAGAATTTTTGGTTTTGATCATAGTAGGCTATTTTCAAAAAAAAAAATATCGATTTTATATCTATATTAGCTTTCTTTATCATTTATAATACCAAGATATATTTTAAAATGCAATTTAAAGCATTTTTAGTTTTTGATCATAGTAGGCTGTTTTATAAAAAAAAAAATAGATTTTACATCTATATTAGCTTTCTTTATCATTTATAATACCTAGATATGTTTTAAAATGCAATTTAAAGCATTTTTGGTTTTGATCATATTAGGCTGTTTTTAAAAAAAAATAGATTTTACATCTATATTAGCTTTCTTTATCATTTATAATACCTAGATATGTTTTAAAATGCAATTTAAAGCATTTTTGGTTTATGATCA